GGGGAAAGAGATGAGAGATGCCGATGTGCACTGAACGCGATAACGGTTCAAGTTATCGAAAAAATATATTTAAAGAGTTAGAATGTTCGCGACATATACTATGTCTATCTCTTAAGATTAATTCGCAAGAACGTCATCGAACGTCGTGGGTAATTCATGGAGCTTAGTAGGTTGCTAGCAAAAATAAAAAATGTGACGCCCGAAAGAACTATTTCACGTGGACGAAGTCGCAAGCACAGCTAGTATGAGATATCGTTGCTTGCTTTACTTCATTATACTTGAATACAAATTAACATCACATTAAAACAGACTTCGAGGTCTGCTCAAATTAAAGCTATAGCTTGAATATATATTGTATAGTAAAAGAGTTCTATCTATAATTTCAGTATTTCAGCTGTCTGATTACTCAAAGACGAGTATTATAATTGCATTTGAAGTGAAACCGGTAAAGTTGATTTCGCTGTCTCAGCACTCTTTATTTTCAAATGATATTTTCAAGTAAATGGATTTAATGAATAATTATGTAACATGCAGAAGATTGACAATTATTGTATGGTTCGTGACTCGGACGAAATTTTGATGTTCCAACCACCCATTTGATATCCAGATTTCCACATGAATGTTTCAGAAAAATTAAATGTAAATTGATTAGAAAAATAGTCACCTAGATAGGATCGTAGCTACTGATCGATTTTTGGCCATACACTGCCAATTACACCAACAAACCTGTCAACATTTTTATTTTTGATTCAACCTACGAATCGAGTTACACAAACGTTTAATGTTATTGTTAAATTGAATAAAGATATATTACTCATACAAGTACTTATAGAGGATGACGCTTTTGTGGTTTCACGAGTACACGAAAGTCGTCAGAAATTTGTAATGATGGATCACTTTATCAAAGTACCCACAAAGATACGATGCAGATGATATTGTGCAGATGTATAAAGTAACAAATTAACCTAACTCTATCCTACAGTTTTTCACGTAATATGTTTATACATAAATACTGTCTATAGTTTAATTTTTTTAAATTTAAATAAAACACTTTAACTGTTTAAAACACGGAAGTTAAAAATCATTTTTAACTAAATAAGTTTAACTAATATATCCGTTTTAAACCGTTAAGTTTAAAGTTAAAATTTAATTTATACATGACATCTGTATGTCTGCAATATAGTCGATTATTTATTCTGGTTAAATTTGTTAAACATAGTTTTATTCTATGGAGCGTGAGGAGAAAGATTTTTCTGCGACTTAAGTTTGAGTAAAGATCCCAAATCTTTTCTGATAACAAACATAGCTTTTTTAGTAAAAAAAATTTTAGCTATCTATTTTTGAAAGAATTTTAAATCGTTACAGTTATTATAGAGTTTACAAATAAGATACAAACTTACTCATTATGATATAAGTAAGTACATGTACCATGCGTACACTGCAGATACTAGATCTAATCTTTATTAAAATGTCCGATATCAAAGCACTTAAATAAACTAAGTCGCATAAAATGCAGAGCATCTGCTTAAGTATGATTTATTCTGTCAATTTAACATTGTAAGTGTTTTACACGTACACCGCTGTCGAGGCTACAGTATTTTAAAGCCAGACATTACCAACTTCAAACAGTGATAAATGTCTAAATGACAACAAAGTGCATACATTTATTACTTTGATAGTTCTATTTCAATATAAAATTTGAATGTTAGTGTCAAGTTGATATTTTCTGCTTTACATTTGATTTTTATAATAATATAATGCAATTTTTTAATAGATTTCGTTTTCTTAAATTGTTTGTAGCATCACGAATGGAGAAATGCGTGTTGGTGAAATTATAAATTGAAAGGTGACAAAGAATTATAATTCTGCTAAATATTGAACCATTTTAAACCAACAATTAAAACCTTCGAGTGATTGAAAACATTATCTTTTATACTGAGATCGACTTCAACGTATTATTATCATCTTTAAAATGTACATTACAGTTTCAAACATATATATTTGTTTATCACATTCTACTTAACTTTGATCGAGAACTTTACTGTCTGTACTTTTCGCGAGTAGTATACACTTGATTACAGCTGCTGCAAAGCATCCGAAACGTGTTGTAGTTAGAATAAATAGTAAATAAGTTGAAGCGTTATTTCGCGTTTTAAACCGTTTTATTAAAAAGAGAAACACTGGTTGAAATATTTACTGGTGTATACTTTACCTTAGCGTCTGGGTTTCACATCAAAGCACGTGCGGCTAGTGAATTATGAACGAGGTCTAAGGGCAACTCGGTCACTCGTCAAATGCAGAACAATCCTACGTCTCGTTATTGTAATCTTTGATGATACATCTACCTCTAGTTCATTTTTGACGTTTGTGATACTACATCTAGCATAAAAGTAAAGTGCCAGACATGAACAAAATCTACATCCACCTTAATGATTAATTTTATTTATTGCGTTTGTGTGTGTTCATCGCTCTTCGTCAAAAATGTTATTCATGATTTGGATTGGAATCTAGGACTCCTAGAAACAACTGGATAAGGTTTTAGGTTTTGATTAAGGAGACAAATTTGTCCTATTGTCTTACACGAGTAATAAACGAACATGGTGGGCAATTTAAAAATCACTGTCGTGTTTACATTCAAAAAACCTTTGCAAAAAAAAAAAAAAAAAAAAAAAAAAAAAAAAAAAAAAAAAAACCCCCCCCCCCCAAAAAGGGGGGGAGAAAAAAAAAAAAATCCCCCCCCCCCCCCCCCCCCCCCCCCCCCCCCCCCCCCCCCCCCCCCGGGGGGGGAAAAAAAAAAAAAAATCCTTCTTAAAAAAAAAAAAAAAAAAAAAAAAAAAAAAAAAGGCTATTTTTTGCGGGGGGAAAACCCATTTAAAAAAAACACTTTAAATCGCGATGTATTAGAAACTTATTTAAAAACGATTTTGAAACGTCGGGCTAAAGTTAAAAATCATTTTCAAATAAGTTTAACTCATATATCGCGTATTAAACCGTTACAGTGATTTTATTTAAAAATATATATTTTAAAATGTTTTATCTTCCATAAATAACACCCTCTCATAATTTAAATAATTTTACGAGAGCAGCACCGTTACCGTTCACCAAAACATTTGGCAACTATCCAATATTAATAATAAAACAAATTTGTTTTGACATAACGTATAAGGTAATTATTTGCCTGAAATACTGACACATTTTTATAAGTAACGAACGAAAACCTATTTACACTTCCTGTATATATGTGTTACACACATGTAATTACAGTTTTGAGTACATTTATGAATATTCAGCTTGTTTTGCATAATGTATGTATAGAGATTTTCTTGGAAATTTATTTTCTATATGTGGAAAACATTGTTGTTTAGGTTATTACAGTCAAATTGCAAAGCCTATATACCTACTTAATGTGTTTTGGGGTATATAAATTAGAAAGTTTGTATAAATTGACAAGCAAATAATTCACAAAAATGTGCACGTTTAAAGAACAAGAATGAGATATTCGTTACGACTAATGAAACGGGCGTATAATAAAGTAAAACCCTATTATTTCATTAATCTATTGTCTTATTTAGGTTCTCAATAATATGTAGTGCCAGCTTTTTATTAGATTATACGGCATTCAAACCCAAAAGCACTGCATTGAAAGCTAGACAATGCGTCTAATTATCAAGCCATCGGTATTATTTGTTTTTATTTATATAACTTCATTATTTAGAAACACCACAAGAAAGGTTTACATTAAAAACCTTATGATCTAGCTTAGAAAACAAAAGGCGGATATATCGCTGAAGAGCGATCGCTTCCAGTCAACCAAACTTATTTCACACTGGTACACAAAACATACAGATACACAATTTGACAACTATAAAGTTCACCGGGCGGCCTTATCGCTATAAACCATTTTTTTTTCGGCAACTAAACTAGAAAGAAATTTAACTACTTACTATACTATATAATACGTGTGTTTGTCGGTTCAATAAAGTGTATATAAGAGCAATAAATGAAACCGACACACAATAACGTGTCATCAAATACGTGCATCATTTGCGTATAATACTTATATAATCATCTAGAATACTTTACAATGCTGTTGGAGCTATAATGCAAATGTTGGTACTTAATTTAATTATTTCTAATCGTAAATTGTAAATATTATGTATGTCAAAATGAGTGTTTTAGGATAGATTTTGTTATAGTATATTGATATGTCCTAAAATAATTAAGCTTAATGTGTAAAATTGCGTCTTTAGTGTAAGTTTATATGACAAAGTTATTTCTTGATATTTCTTGTTTGTATGTCATATAATCATTATTTTAACTGTTATAATAGCTTAATATTGATAAAACGAATCGTTTTATAAAAGTTTGAAGTTTATAGATGTTAAAGTTAACGAAATAGCAAATCGAAAATTGTCGAACTTTTTGTTAGAAACTTGAATATCTCATTGGAGATTAAAACTATTGAAATGTATTTTATATAGTCAAATAGAGAATTTTGTAAGGTTTAATTCCATGTAAAAATTGTAAAAATCGCATAAATGGATAAATAAATATAAGCTTCCAAAGTGCTTCGCGATAGTAAAAATTGGCGGAAAATAACACGAAATCGCACACGCTTCGCGGACATCTCGTCGCGGTATAGTTCGCGCTACTTTAGCTCGCAAAGGTCCCGAAGCAAAACATGTCACAACGAGCAATAAGGAAGAAGCACTTTGGAAGAATAATAAGAAGAAAAAGGGATTTTATTTGAAGAGACCCTCTAACGAAATACGTCCAAGTGTTTCTAATAACGATATACGTCTTGTTTCTCTCAACGATATACGTCAGTGAGAGGGGTAACTGGCTCAGTACATACGCACAGCAGGGTGCGTGGGTCGGGTGGTACCAGCGTGACATATCGAGCCAGCCGACAACCCCGGAGATCCCGTTGACGGGCCGAAACCCTCTGCGGGACCCCTCAACAATTTTTGGTCCTTCGAAAGCCGGATCCTGCATTCAAGATGCCAGTTACCCGATCGCAGAAGGAGTACAAGACAGCCGATGTGACATCACCTACGAGCGCTGCCACGAGTGCCACGCACGACACCACGTCAGGGACTACGGTTACCACAGAGGCCGAGAAGACGACGGTGTCCACGGAAGCCACAACAGCGAGCCAGCCAGGTCACACCATGACCCTGGTACCCGAGGGTTCTACCCGGCGAGCTGGAACAGCTGCGAGGTCTCGAGCCAGCACAAACAGGCGGAGACTCGAGGCCAAAGAAGAGTTGGCACGATTTGAGCTCGAAGAAATACAGGCAAGGGCACGCCTCGAGCTTGAACAAATACAGGCAAGAGCACGCCTTGAAATTGAAGAAATGCAGGCAAGAGCGCGCCTGTTACGAATCCGTCTAGAAATAACGGAAGAAGATGAAGAAGACTCTATTGCCGAGAATGAAGAAGCCTTCCAGGAACGAGACCGCAAAATCCGGAGCTGGATGGAAGCTGCTGCCGCCGAGCCACCACTGCTACCTGGAGCCGCTGCCGAGGAGCCTGCAACTGCTGGACCTGCTACTGCGGGAATGGCCGCTGCTGGAGCTGTTGCCGTCGGGCCTACCGCTGCTAGGCCTGCTATTGCTGCCGGACCTGCCGCTGCTGCTGCAGCCGCTACCGTTGGTCCTGCTGTCGTGAAGAAAGAAGCATCAGCCGAGGTTCAACTCATCGCAGAGGCGCTTCGAGAAGCATTGTCCCACAACGTTACGATGGCTACGCAACCAAGTTATATACAAGAGCTCCCAGTCTTTGAGGGAGACAGCACCGAGTGGACGGCATTTCAGGTTGTATATGATAACACAGCTTCTCTATTTTCACCAGTTCACAATATGGCAAGACTTCGGAATGCGATCAAAGGGGAAGCCAGGGAGAGCTGCAAGAGTCTTCTGTACTCCAGTATGAAGCCCGAAGATGTTATGGAAGCACTACGTCGGCGCTACGGGCGGCCCGACCTACTAGTGATGGCTGAAGTGAAGAAATTGGAGAGCATACCTCCGATTGGGCATAGCCCGAGGGAGCTCTGTAACTTCGCCAACAGTATCAGCAATAGTGTCGCGGCGATCAAGAGTTTGAACAGACCTCAGTTCCTGCATGCACCAGCGGCAGTGAACTCAATAGTTGAGAAGATACCACACGGCTTGAGGTATCGGTGGTATGAATATGCATCGGCGTATCCAGAGGAGTCCAAGTACAACATAGAATTGGTGAGTGCTTTTCTCAATTTAGAAGCAGACAGGTGCAGCGCGTTTGCAGGAGCTGTGGAGTACAAGCCACAACGTGAAAGCGCGACTGCGAGAAAACCACTAAGACACACCACGAACAACGTAACGCGGGTCGCCGAAACCATGAAATGTCCAGGGTGCGAGGGCAACCACCGATTACCAGAATGTCCTGAATTTTTGAAGATGCGTGTCAGTGACAAGTGGGATGCCGTGAAGAAAGCAAAGGTATGCTTTAAATGTCTGTCATTAAAACACCGAAAGGAAAATTGTAGGAAGCCGCCATGTAAGACATGTAAGAGATGGCATCATGATTTGTTGCATGTGTTTAAAGAAATAGAACAATCCGCAGAATCGGTCAACACCATTAGGAATTCCAGAGCACTGCTAAAGATGATCCAGGTCGAAGTATGTGGGCCCAAAGGCAACAAGAAGGTAATGGCGTTGCTGGATGAAGGCTCAACAGTGACGCTTCTGCACGAGAAGATCGCAGACGCGATTGGAGCCAGGGGACCTCAGGAAGAACTGACCGTCGATACAGTGGGCGGTGGGCAATTACAACATCAGAAGTCCATGAAGATTGACCTGGAACTGCGAGGTATTAAACAACATAGCAGAGGTAAGCTCAAAGAAGTACGGACCGTAAAGGAATTGAACCTGACGCCTCAACACCTTGACAAAAGACGTTTGAAGAGATATAAGCATCTATCGAAAATCATTGATGATGTATATTACGAGGCGGAGAAACCTATGCTGCTCATCGGCCAGGATAATTGGGAGTACATAGTGTCCTTACAGGTGCGCAGGGGGAAAAGAGGACAGCCGGTCGCTTCCAGAACTAGACTCGGCTGGGTCCTGCACGGCAACGACAGCAACCACGTGTCCCCAGGAAATTATGTCAACACTTGCGCTCACCTGAACATCGTTGAAGAACTGGATAAGCCAGTAAAGGAGCACTTCACGATTGAGGCGCTTGGTAAACATCCGAAAAGACCGAATACAGATACGGAAGAGAAAGGCACAAGGACACTTCAGGAAACCAGTAGGTGCTCAGAGAACGAACGGTCTAACGTAGGTCTCCTGTGGAAAGAAGACAACATGCAACTGCCAGACAATAACGATTCTGTTTTAGACAGGTTTACGGGGATCAAGAAGAAACTGCAGGAAGACAGTCAATGGAAAGGGGAGTACAGCACGCAGATTGTGACCTTGCTGCGCTGCCAATATGCTGACGAGGTACCTGCTGACTGTACTGCATCAAAGAATCCCCTGAAGAAGAAATTGAGGATCGTCTTCGACACGGCGGTGAAGACGACTAAATGGAGCCTCAATGACGCGCTGCTACCCGGCCCAGATCTACTCCAGTCATTGTTTGGAGTATTGCTACGTGTCAGGGAGGGTTCGGTCACAATAGCAGCAGAAATTAAAGGAATGGTCTTGCGAGTGAAGATAAAAGAGAAAGATCGAGATAGTGCACGGTTCTTAGGAACAAATAACGAGAAGACCCTAAATTTACGATGGCAAACGCGTGGCGTAGCAACCGGAATGAAGACCCCAACGAAGACAGATGTCACCAGAGCGGTAAGGTCCACTTTTGAACCGAAGAGTCTTATCTCATCCATCCTCATTCAGGGAAAGAAGCTGATCCAGCACGTTTGGCGGAGCGGCAACAGATGGGTCGAGAAGAACACACAAGAGGACTTCACCCGATACAAGACGCAATTGGAAGACAAAAGAAGATTGAAGACATCCGGTTGGCTCGGTGCATATCACCAACATGCACCGAAGGGGAGCTTTACACATTCACGGACGCTAGTGAGACAGCCTACGCCGCAGTGGTTATGGGGAACGAGCCACACAAGCAGACAAGGCAGAAGAAGAGGCGCAGACTTACTTCGTCATCGGAAGGTCTCGTGGAGCGGCGCTGATTGGCAGCTTCGCGGAAATGAAAAGGGTTGGCAAAGACAGTTGGAAGATGGTGCAACTACTGGCACAGCACTTATGGAGAAGATGGCTGCGGAAGAATATGAACAAGGCGCCGGGCGACAACCTGAAGGTGGAAGGTGCGGTCATCATTGTCGACCGCACTCTCCCTCAATGCAAATGGCCACGAGGGCAGAGACGGATCCAGAACCCGACGGAAGAACACGAGTCATCGACAAGACAACGCGAGGCGAGACATCAACCGTCATCGCGCATCGTGCTCCTGGTTCCCGCCACCGAGTCGCCGCCCAGAAGTATGGTGCGTTACCGCACGAAGGGGAGAATGTTGGCGACCTTACCTCACGTAAAATAAGTAGTTTGATTAATTAATGTTTTATTCGAGAAATGGTATTACACAACACGTGAGGTCCACATATATAGCTATCTTTGTCACACGAATATGCCTATCTTTCTCACAAACTATTTTATCTGTCTTTGTTGCACACATATGACTATCTCACTCGCACAGGGTATTTACGTGTTTTGTAATTAATTTAATTATTTCTAATCGTAAATTGTAAATATTATGTATGTCAAAATAAGTGTTTTAGGATAGATTTTGTTATAGTATATTGATATGTCCTAAAATAATTAAGCTTAATGTGTAAAATTGCGTCTTTAGTGTAAGTTTATATGACAAAGTTATTTCTTGATATTTCTTGTTTGTATGTCATATAATAATTATTTTAACTGTTATAATAGCTTAATATTGATAAAACGAATCGTTTTATAAAAGTTTGAAGTTTATAGATGTTAAAGTTAACGAAATAGCAAATCGAAAATTGTCGAACTTTTTGTTAGAAACTTGAATATCTCATTGGAGATTAAAACTATTGAAATGTATTTTATATAGTCAAATAGAGAATTTTGTAAGGTTTAATTCCATGTAAAAATTGTAAAAATCGCATAAATGGATAAATAAATATAAGCTTCCAAAGTGCTTCGCGATAGTAAAAATTGGCGGAAAATAACACGAAATCGCACACGCTTCGCGGACATCTCGTCGCGGTATAGTTCGCGCTACTTTAGCTCGCAAAGGTCCCGAAGCAAAACATGTCACAACGAGCAATAAGGAAGAAGCACTTTGGAAGAATAATAAGAAGAAAAAGGGATTTTATTTGAAGAGACCCTCTAACGAAATACGTCCAAGTGTTTCTAATAACGATATACGTCTTGTTTCTCTCAACGATATACGTCAGTGAGAGGGGTAACTGGCTCAGTACATACGCACAGCAGGGTGCGTGGGTCGGGTGGTACCAGCGTGACATATCGAGCCAGCCGACAACCCCGGAGATCCCGTTGACGGGCCGACCCCCCCCCCCCCCCCCCCCCCCCCAAAATAAAATATATTTAAAAAAAAAAAAAAAAAAGGAAAAATCCCACCCCCCCCCCCCCCCGCGGGGGGGGGGGGGGGGGGGGGGGGGGGGGGGGGGGGGGGGGGGGGGGGGGGGGGGGGGGGGGGGGGGGGGGGGGGGGGGGGGGGGGGGGGGGGGGGGGGGGGGGGGGGGGGGGGGGGGGGGGGGACCCCCCCCCCCCCCGGGGGGGGGGGGGGGGGGGGGGGGGGGGGGGGGGGGGGGGGGGGGGGGGGGAGAAGAAAATAAAAAAAAAAAAAAAAACCCCCCCCCCCCCCCAAAAAAAAAAGGGGAGGGGGGGGGGGGGGGGGGGGAGGGGGGCCCCCCCCCCCCCGGGGGGGGGGGGGGAAAGAGGAAAAAAAAACCCAGGAGGAGGAGGAGGGGGGGGGGGGGGGGGGGGGGGGGGGGGGGGGGGGGGGGGGGGGGGGGGGGGAAAAAACGACCCCCCCCCCACCGCGCGGGGGGGGGGGGGGGGGGGGGGGGAAAGAAAAAAACCCCCCCCCCCCCCCCCCCCCCCCCCCCCCCCCCAAAAAATTTTTTTGTGTGGGTGGGGGGGGGGGGGTGGAAGGGGGGGGGGGGGGGGGAGGGGAAAAAAAAAAAAAAAAAAAAAAAAAAAAGGGGGGAAAAAGGGGGGGGGGGGGGGTGGAAATGGTATTATTCCCCCCCCCCCCCCCGGGGGGGGGGGGGGCGGCCCCCCCCCCCCCCCCCCCCCCCCCCCCCCCCCCCCCCCCCCCCCCCCCCCCCCCCCCCCCCCCGGGGGGGGGGAAAAAAAAAAACCCCCAAAAAAAATAAAAAAAAAAAATAGGGTTTTTAAACCTTAAAAGGGTTTTTTTTAAAGGTTTAAAAAAAATTTAAATTTTCAACAAAATATTTTGCTAGTGTTCTATTGTTTAGCTTCAAATATGATCTTGATTATAATATTTTGGTTAACTAATTTAGTAGATAACGTCAACACTTTGTGAGCCAAATACTGTACCATGTACTTACTCATTGGTTAATAAGTAAGTACATTAAGTTGTTTTTAGGACAGCTAGCTTTGAAGTCAAGATGTGCAATTCTCTTAATAGAAAATACGTGACTACATTTCGTTCGAGCGGAAAACTCCTTGTACAAACCCCCAAGGCTTCACTTATCTTTGGGTCGTGTTTTCATTTATTTTATTGCTGCCATCTCACCAAACCTCTTAAGATAACACTCGTGAACCATTACCCACATACAATTCTACAATTGTCAATGTCAAGTCTGTTTTTACTGATTTGATGTTTACAGTTATATAATTATTTCCAATAATACAACGGAAAGTATATTTACATACCTATTATATTGTTAAAAGTGACTTTGTGAAGTAAAGTGTAAAAAAAAAATTTTTTTTCGGTTGAGGTTATTTCGTTATCGATTTTAACTAACTAGCTAATCCAGCGAACTTTTGCAAGGAAGGAAGGAAAAATTATATTGATACAACTCTAACAAATAGCTGGTAATTATGCATATTACCAAATTTAATTACCATAAAAACGGTCTTGCGAGTTAATCTTAATCGAGAAGACAGACGTATTCTGGCGCAGATATTCTTTTAAATCATTTTAAGAGGAATCATTCTTTCATAGAATTTTCGTTTCTTTATTACCTATTAAAACCTTAATTAACAGTAAAGATAAGAATTGATCGCATTCTAATAAAATACTTCGTGTCCCTTGCCAGTTATAAAGCTGTATATAAAGCTGGCAACTCATAAAGTCGTGAAAAATAGCAATATTTAGAGACGGTCTTAAAGTTTATGAAGCTTCTTTTATTAACTCTCTTTATATAGAGGGACTGTAAAATGTATAATTATACCTATGTAGTGTAAATATCTATAGTAAGTTGAAAAGAGCTTGATACATTAGTGACACAGATAAAAAACAGATGGCGTAACGACTGGTACAGTGGCCAATTAGTCTGTGAGACTTCATAAATTAATCATTAATCTACTTTCATAAAAAATGGAAAAGGGATTCATTTATTATTTAAAAAAATAAATAAATAGTACAGACATTTTATAAAATAAAATGTACCTTGTAAGCGCAAGCAGTTGGTCGTCTTAGAGTATGCTCGTTAGTTAATTTAAAAACGCCATTAAAATGTCAGTCTCCCCTTTCAAAGCAACATCCAGTGTAATGAAAGCCCAATTTTCCGCAATTGTCAGCTGCAATTAAAATCGTGTTGATTGCTCCTCTGTCCATATGCAGGTCACCGAATTATTCTCACAGTGTTTAGTGGAATAACATCGGCTAAGTGAGAGTGGGAGACAAAAAAACGTTTAATCTATACTAAGTTTAAAAAGCTGAAGCGTCTTTGTTTATAAATCCTCGCCTAATCTACGGAATCGAATTGAAAAATGATTTTTGAGTTAGATAGATTTGAGTTATTTATCTAGAAATGCTTTATGCTCTAAAACATGCTGCGATAAGAGCGATGAGGAGGAAGGGGTGGGAAGTGTGGAAAAAATGGAGAAAATAATCATCTTTGTGAGTTCCCGTTGCGTGCACTGCAAAGGTCGTTCAAGATACCCAAAATATATGTAGCAAAGTATGATAATTATGATTAGCTTGCAAGAATGTAGGAATTCGAATGACGTCATGTGTTATAGCATTATTTTATAAAGTTGAGGTTGGGTTGCAAATTTTGATGCCCAAAATAATTATTCTACGCGGACGAAGTCGCGGACACAGCTAGTATATGTGTATTGAAATCATTTTTTTTTAACTTTTTATAAAAATTTAATATTCTGCTTATGCGTGTGTGTTGTGACCCAGTCATTAATTGTGCCGCTATCGTCCCATTTCTCATAATCCCCTCACAGACGTTTTATATAGATTTGCATCGGCATGTTGGCTTACGAATGAGGTCTCGATGAAAGGAGGACGTTAGAATTTAGGAACGAGGTCTTAACGATAAAGAGAGCGTATTATTGCTTTGAACATCGGGCGTTGATCTTTTGATATTCGTGCTAAAATCCAATTTATTCGCATTTATTCGGTACATTATTCTATATTAGTCTTAAGATGAGAAAATGTAAGGGGTCAGTTTTATATTTACAGCTGTACTGATAAGTTGTAGATAAGTTTAACTAATACATTTCGCGTTTTAAACAGTTAAAAGTGTTTTATATAAATGTCTGTAATGTTTTAAATACATATAATAAATAGCTACTTTCTATTACTGTATAGTAAAACTGTTTCCCCCGTATGGGGCAAAGGGTGAACTCATTTTTATGTTTTTTCTGTAATCGTTATCATTTTTAGGCAATTAATTGATGAGTAAGATAAGTTTTAACGGTAACGGTCGCGCTTAAATATTTTGAATGTGAATTTGAAAAAATCAACAAACAACAACAGATTGCAGTCATCAAGCTAAATATAATTGAAATAAATACGGAGCCATTTAAAAGTGTTGCTAAACGCTTTTAACATCCATCTGGCTTCCATTCACAACTTTCAAGATAATGCATTCGTTATCAAAATCGCACCTGCTCGCAACAACAAAAATAATCAAAATATATTTATTGGTTTTCATTTATTATAGTCGTAATGGTTTAGTGGTTCGATTGCATTACTGATATTACTAGCGAGTTCTTTCCACGGATAGACATTATATTTGAGGATACAGGGCTAAATGGTTTTTCATTAGGTAGCACGTTAACTATATACTGTATATATATTTATAATTTTTAACAGTTTAAAACCATTTTTTAATGATAAATACCCCAGCCATATAACATTTACGCAAGATGCGCTATCGACCTATTTTGGCTTTGGATGTTGGATATTTTGGATTTGTCTAACCAATATATCTATTAATTCGCGTTTTGAACCGTTAAAAGTTTTATTTAAATGTGTTCTCGCGTTAACTACAGACAATACTTAAGTAAATTTCTATCGAATGATACGCTTTCGAGATTTTTAGAGAACTAAATATTATAACTTCGTTTATAAAGGTTGGGTTTCAAGGATACTGAATTTCAAACCTTTCGATCACGTCACGTCAGCTGACAATGTAGGTTGGGGTAAGATTGATTACACATGCCGTCGGGAAACCATATAAGTTACTTGTTATAATGTTACGCGGTGGGTGTAAACCACGAAATACCTATATAAAAGAATTTTCGATTTTATCTTATAAGGTTGGTATACGGCATAATAATCAACGGGTCGTGGATTCGGACTGGTGTGGATCGCCCCACACAGTCTAATCTAAGCAAGCTATAATTTTAATTACTGTCTGTAGTTTACGCGAGTGGTACACATTTATATAAAACACGTCAACGGTTTAAAACGCGATAAATATTAGTTAAACTTATTTGAAAATTATTTTAATAACGGCCCGACGTTTCCAATGTTTTACAGCGGGTACTTGGCGAAATTATTTCGCCAAATACCAACTTCGACGGAACACATGGCGCTAGGGTAACTGTTTTTACTTTTACATCTGAGGCACTCTCCATCTTAAACCCCCCGTGACCACGGCTGCTGCAAAGCATCCGAAACGTCGGGCCGTAGTTAAAATTATTTTTAAATGAGTTTAACTAATATATATTGCGTTTTAAAGCGTTAAAGTGTTTTATTTTAATTGATAATATTTCTGAAACATTTCGGATCTCGTTAGAAATAGTTTCTGAATATTAATTCCTGCCTTTTGTCAACAGCTATACGCCGATGAAGACCAAGATGTTAACCTTGTGGATGAGGTGAAAGAATCCAAAGAGGACAAACAAGGCTACGACTCTTTGGAGAAGCTTCACGGTCTAACAGTGTTGGAAGATGACAATCAATTAGGTGACGACGAAGACCTATTTGATGGAGAGGATGACGCGGAAAGCGGTGATTGGTACCCCGATTACGATAGGAGACGGGAAAGAGTAAGTGTTGTGAAAGGCTAAAGAATAACTTAAATCCTGCCATAAACGTCGATGGATTGAGAAAACATAATTATTTGATGTAATACGAACCTGAATTTAGCTATTACATAAATTTACATTAAGATAACGCGTTCTTTAAAAGAGAATTGGAATTTAAACAGTTTAATTACAAAATTAAAAATCACCAATTGAATTATCGAATCCTACACGTCATTGTTGTTTGTACTTTTGTACAAATGTCCTGCCCGAGTCGTATTTTTTTTTCAATTTATATATGATTTGGTGCCATCATGTGCAAAAAATATTAAAGTTTTCAAAGATATTACTATACAACAACAACAATATATTTTCTACAATCTCGTGATTACTGATTCTCTTAAATGTTGTTTACGATTATAAGAGGAGAAAGTGGCGTCGTTAGTTAACAACTTTATGTAGTGAGATATTCTAACGAAAAGCACAATTCTAGAACCTGAATCACTTACAAGAACAAAGAGCCGACGGAATTCGGTCACGGAATGAAAACATTAAAAATAAAAATCGCATTTCACTCAGTTAAAATTATTGCGTTCACCCCGTTAACCTATATATCTGCTTGTAAAACTGCGTACACACTAGTGAGTTACAAAAGTTGCTCAAATTATATAGGAATGATATTTGTAAAACTAGTGTTGTGTTACAGACATGTTCAGGTTTCAGTGTCCTAAATAGGTATGTCATGGTTGTTTGGTTGGGTTCGAATCGTCTGGAAAAACTGAATCTGATTATTGAAGTTCCGTCCTGCTCTCACCCACAGATAAAAAGAACGTAAAGTCTACCGCTAGGTTTTTAGTCTGTGGATTTTCAAATGTCAAAGCCAAAATAGGCCATTAGCAAACTTATTAAGATGTAATATGGCTGGGGTATTTCCATCAAGTAAACTCCGTTATCCTGCCTTTTTTTATTATAAAAATACATAATCTCCCCAATTCTGTCATACTACATGTGTAGGGGTGTAGATGTAGGTTCCAGGGATCCTAGTTTTGAATATTGTTCGATTGACGAGGTACATGAGGCTCGGATTCTCTCGGATTTTCTCTTGTTTACTCTCGGTGTGTGCAACAGCTCGCTAGTAAGTACACAGCCTAATGTTTTTAGCGTTATAGCACTCGTATTCAGGAGTTATTAAATTGGCTTTATCCCGGTAAAGCCACGGTATTAATATTAACTTTTGAGTTTATTAGGATCGCTCGGGTAATGAATATTAATTCTGTAGGTACTGCGTAGTTTACGGGACATACATATTTAATAAGCTCCTTTGTTCACATATTCAAAGAGTTTATTTTCAACACTGAGTTTAGAATTTGAATAAAAATTAGGATTCATATATATGTACAATCATGTTAGATTCAAAATCAAATGACAAAGGCGAGACTAAAACCCCGTTCTGCTGTTACTTAGTTGAAAGCTTGTCCTAAAACTTTTTTTTTATATCATTACAATTATAATAGATACCCTGTAATGCCATGCCATACATTTAATATTAAATTCATAATATTGTTATTAATGCATATATGTTTAAATTACTATTACTTTTTATCAATTCCCCTTATAACATATTTATGAGGGTGGATGGATGTTTGTCATATATTTTTAGGCAAACACTTTGATTGATGACTTTAATATTTATATCAATTTAAATTGAAAATTAATGTTTTTTTAAATCTTTATAAAATACTGCCGTGGTTTCCGTTTTATCAATTTGGTTATTGGGGCATACAAACGTGTTCCTAGGCCTCCTTCAAAAGCAACATAGCGATGTGTTTAGTGGTTCTCGTCGGCTATTTTCTCCGAGGAGGTTGTAGTACGATTTACCACACTTCCCACGTCACTATTGCCCGACGTGGGAGTGCATTAGGCATTCACTGTCTCACCATCCGTTTAAAAAGGGTGTTTATTAAAATATGATTTAATGTACCTATTAATATTCTAGGTAGGAACGACCAACATGGTCCGTCTAACACCAGATGACTTCATGGGAGTGGTGGAAGGGGTCGACGTCGGTGGAAACTTGAACGAGATAAAGCGACTTCTCAATGAGAATCCGGAGATTAAGGAAATTGGTAAGTTTTTCTTATTAGCAATTGATACCATTAGTACGGTTAATTCAGTTAACTAAATGGCTCTCCATGATTGTCTGAACATAAACCACTGATTGAGACAGTTGATAAAAGTAACGTTAAATAACGCGTTATGCTGTAGTTTAATTTTATACTTAGATAATTTTCTCTTATTAGGTACTAGACCACGAGAATAATTTTATTGTAAAAGTTATGCCCGCGACATCGTCCAAGTGGATTATGTTTTAGGGCATCATATTATTTATTTTTGCAAACAACCTGCTAATCTTTATAAAATATAGCTGTTAACCAAGACGTCCCAATCGTTCGCATCCCGTCGCGTGATTATAGCGAATTAATCTTAAAAGATACATATCTGATACATACTGTGCCAAACATTTAAAAAATAATCATTACATATTTTCGGTTTTTGGTCCTCCCTCCTATTGGTCACAGCGTGATGTTTTATAGCCGAACGAATTCGAACTATTAGCTCCTGAGGTTAGGGCATTCAAACTAACAAACAAACTCTTTGGTTTTATATTAGTATAGATTAAACTAGAAAATAAAAAAAAACAAGATTTAGAGGAGTTCTGATCTTTAATAAATCTAAGAAATACGATGTTCTAAAATACTTCTGTTATTTTCATTTCAATTTAAAATCCTTTTTTATAGCTCTTAGTATATTACAAGTCTACTTTATAGCGTTTCCATCTGACATCGTGGGAGTAACAAAATAACAAAACACTTAATAAAGCTCATCAAAAGCGTTATTCGGAGTGAACATCGCATTAAAATTCAATTTTCTAAAGGATTTATCCATCTCTGTTATAAAATCTATAATATTGACTCTATGTTCAGTTAACAAAGGGAAAATTTCAGCATTCATTGTATTTAACTATTTACAAAAAATTATTGATTAGTATAATTATTAATGGTATAATTCATCTTTATTAGTAAAACTTAATTGTTATTCACTTAGAATATAGTACAAATTTAATTATAGAAGTAATCCAATGGACCACGGATCGTAGTTAAACATAAATTAATGTAATTCGCATGATAATGTGATAGTAGATAGTAATGTGTTAAAAGAGCTTTGTTTAATTTAATTTTAAAAGCAAGTATTTATATGTAGGTGGGGTTATTTAAAGTTGGTAAATGATTTCGGTTACATCGATACTTTTTACTTATTGTTTTCATTGGCTGTATTTTGTAAAATACACGGTGTCTGAAACAATGCAAATAGTATGAATGGTGTAATGTATATAATTGTTCAATCTAATATTTCTTTCCCAACTTTCAACATGACCCATTTGACATCAACACCTTATATAATATAATATAAAACTTCTTAGACTTCTCATTTTTAATACAGCTCTGCCAACATTGCCAAACTATACGCGCAAGCCGACAACAGAAGCAGCACAGAAGTCAGAGGCCACAACGGAAAAGCAAAGCGGACGCGATAAGCGGAGCGTCTTCCCCGATTCACCAGCTGACGCGATTTCTCCAGTTACTGCGCCGAAATTCATGTCAAAATCTGAGGAAAGGTTAGTAGATACGGATAACTTATACTAGTGGGTGGTAGGATACATAATATACGCTTAGTGGGAACATAATGATATAAAATGCGCATTATTTGTGGACATAACCGCCCTTGTAACTAAAAGGTTATACGCGTTGCCTAGCATTGCGTTAATCGCGATAGGTCCTAGTTTCGAATCTCGGGGAAATAATATAATATTTTGGCCAGGAAAGGGCACATAAGTCTGATTAACTACTTGCTTGATATAGACTAGACAAGATATAGACACAGAAATGGGCTCACCCCATGCCCCACGAGGGGAAACGGGATTTCGCTTTTTATAGCGAAAATGGCATAATAATTGAGATAAGAACTTCCTTTCATCCCAGATTATCCATTACTATAGAATTAATTAGTACAGGCTACTAAATCCACGCAATTTTAAAAGAGCCATCGCGACATCACACACTCGTATATCAAAGAATGCGGTATACATACATAGGTAATATTATATAACAAAACGTAAGGCAACAACGAGAGACTTTGGAAACCCGAGAACGTTCTCAAGTTACATGCTAGTTAACTTACACTTTTGCTTTTGTTCTTAAACCATAGCTACTGGGAACCGAGATTTTACCAGAAGCCTTAGAAAATTATAGTCTTTACCTATACTAATGATAAACATTCCATGCAGTACTTTTTTCATAAAAAAAGCTATTTGGAGTTCTCACGTATGATTCACTTTAATACTGTCTGTAGTTTACGCGAGTAGTACACATTTAAATAAAACACTTTAACGGTTTAAAAAGCGATATATGTGTTAAGCTAATTTAAAAATTATTTTAACTACGGCCCCGACGTTTCGGATGCTTTGCACGGTAAAATTAGTTAACTAATAATATCGCGTTTTAAACCTTAGTATTTTAACTTGGCCAATAACTCACACAGGTCCTATTTTAAGTTGTGTCTGTTTGCATGAGTGATTAATTATATTAAACACTTTTAACGGTGTAAGACGCGAACTATATAACTATATTAGTGCCTTGGCCTGATAGATTTACTCTCCAAAGTTAATTAGAGTCTTCTGTTATCATGTTACGAAACTTTCACAAATTCTCAAGTATCGATTAACAATGAACTTAACTTTACTGTAATATCTCTTAGCATAAAATTGAGGTGCAGCCTCGTGAAATTTTTTTTTTATGATAGAGGAGAAGAGACAAGCACGAGGTATTGATGGTAGACAAGACACCTCAGCCATATATAACATAAACACAAGATCCGCTGTCAATCTAGTTTGGCTTTGGATAATTCAAAAACTTAACATACAAGTTTAAAAAAGAAATCACATTTTAATGGTAAAATTGAAATCACGTTGATAAAATAAAGGCTCCATTTCCTGAATCAAAATTGATAAACCCTTATGCCAATAGTACACATTAAAATAAAACACTTTAACGTTACGCGATATATAACGTGGTCTCCCGTAACCACGGTTCCAAAAAGCATCCGAAACGTCGGGCCGTAGTTAAAATAATGTTCAAATACGTTTAACTAAAATATATCGCAAAAAAGTGTTTTATTTAAATTAAACAAACACTTGTTAATATTGGTTGCAACGTTTTTTTTACTTCAAAATATTTATTAATTTTGATTATTCAAAGTGAAATTTAAGTTCAACTGTGTTAAATATAAACATGCTTTCTTTATTCAAAGACGTGATTTCACAGAAGTGAATTGCTTTACCGAAAAGTGATCTCCGAAATACGAATTCAATATGATTTTTCGTGATATGAACATGAATAATATTGTCAATGGAATATGTGAAATAAGGGAGAAAGAATTTCGTAATATCATTCGAGCCAATATCTCACAATAATGGTTTCGAGGTATCGTTATTATGCTGTGCTCGTAAACATGTCCATACAATGATTTGCCCCCGGCGTTGTCGGTTGTTAAAAATAGTTTTTGTCTTAAAAATTGTTGAAGACTAGCTGACCTAGTAAACGCATAAAACTGTTCTTGTAAGTTAATCTTAAAATATGATACTGCCGGGTAATTTTTTTATTAGATTATATAAAGAGGTATTCTTTCTTTCATTTTTTTTTTGCGTATCTTGAATCGTTTCCGCAGAGCAGTTTAGTTTTTTCCACATATCCCGCTGTTTCTTTGCTCTTGTTGGTCGCAGCCTGATGTTTTTTTAGCCTAAAGCCTTCCTCGATAAATAGTCAGCGCTTTCAACAAACAAACAAATTCTTTAGCTTTATAATATTAACTCCTACTTCTACTACCGCTACCACTATTCTCTCGGCAGCTACAAGAAAGTTTTATGGTATATATAAAATTAATATTTTAACAATTTGAAATCAGCATCGGACACATGTGAATATAGTGAAAAAGAAATAATTCATGTATATCATGTATTATCTATTACCCATCATAGACAACAAAAAATCGATTTTTATTTCGACTCAGATAAAAAAATTTAAACTAAAATCGTGAAAATTTATAATTATATGAAGCTAGTTTTGTGCATAGTCATCAACCAGTCAGGTGACTAATAGAAGTTTCACAAAAGAGTTATACTGCGTAGTGTTAGTGTTGTGGATTCTATAAACAGTGCTACCTAGGAAAATATTAGACAAAATTATTTCCGAATACCCATAGGTTGACATATGTTTAAATATTATATGGCTAGAGTATTTCATCTCCCATCAAGTAAGCTTTATGCTTGTTTCTAGTAAGCTTTATGCTTTACTCTTTATAAAAAAAACTATGAATAAATGATTATTTACTCATATGAAACTCGACTGTCATTAGCATATTATAGGGAAATGGAATTGTTCAGCTCAGAATTCAATATCAGCATTCCCGGAGGTGCGATTCACAGGCACGTAGGCGAATGCTCGGAAAATCGATTAATGGATAAACTCGAATAGCGATTGTTCTCGACGTGGGATTTAGACTGCATGAGATAGTCTTGTATCCAATCATGCACAGACTATGAACCAACTATGAACACTTACCGATTCATTAAACACAAGCTTCTAATTTGGGAAAATATAGTATTAATATAGTATAACTAGCTGACCTGGAAAACGTACTTTTGCAATAGAAGTAAAGAAAAGCATGGCGATCAAATTTCAACCAAATTTGATTGCCAAGAAAAGCGATCTTGTGAGTTAATCTTGAAGGATATACATACATTTACTAACAAGGGACATTTTGACTATGATCATATTTATTTAAACATATAGTTCGGGTATCTGCAAGGGAACCTTCAAAGACCACTTTTGTTCCTTTGTTCCTATGGGTCGCAGCTTGTTTTATAGCCTAAAGTCTTCCTCAATAAAAGCTCTAACCAACACAAAAATAATTTTTTCTTACTCGTAATTCCTAATCATTAGCGAGTTCAAAAAACAAAGTCTTTAGCTTTATAATATTAATATAGATTAGAAGCGATGTTATTACTATTGACCATATACCAGTACCATGATTAAATAATGGTTAAAAATACGACATCACAAGCAGCTATTCGAATTCTAGATATATACTTGAGTTATGCTAGTTTAGATTAAAAGAGTCAGAAATTCAAGAAGTCTCTTATAAAGTAAAAAAATTATAGATTAATTTTGACATATGCTTTCCAGGCGAAAGACCAAGAAATTTACACCACCACCAGATGCAACCGTAAAGATGGCCCTGCACACCGTCTCAAGAACAGCGAGGAACAGTGAAGGCGAGGTAAGTTTTAATCATGTTTAACAAGTTAAATCATCAAATTGATTGGATTTATGTGACATTACGTCATGGTATATAAGGCAAATGTATTTCTGTATTTCACTTATCACCTACTCTAAACATTGTCTCAAACTTCATTGGACTTAAACATTTAATTGCTGTCCTAAGATTCGAACCTGTTTCATGCGTTCTACAAAGCTACGGAGATGCTTATAGATGTTTCATAGGTTCCAAATTGTTAAGATTTTTTAAACAGTAAAATTGTACTGATAAAATTATTTTAAATATATGTAATAACAACGAATCTACCTTTAAAAAAAATGTTGAACTTAAATGAATATTGAAATCATTACTGTTTTAAATTAAACAGATAAATAATATACGAAAGTATCGTTGCGTCAAGAAGACCTCATTAATGTAAATTAAACAAGGTCGCCTAGTTGACTAAATCCTTTCTAACGAGCGACTTACTCCTTTATGCTTCTATTTTCAGGAGGAAGGACAAAGGAGGCCATTCATCGCTGCACATTTCCACGGAAACACTTCTCATCTTAGCCCAGAGATCCACGAACACTTCAAAGGTAGCAAATATAATATAACACTATTTTTTAATATAGACGGATAAGCATGGAGTTTACTTGATGTTAGGTGAAATACATATACTAAACAAGCGCTGTCGGCCCATTTTGCTTTTGGATATTCGGAAATCCACAGACTGAAACCGAAACGTGATTAAACTTCACAGCTTTTACATCTGTGGGCGGTGACACGTGAGCCGGACGGAATTTCGATATTCTTTGCCATTTATTATTGTTAGATCAATATCCAGATTTCCAGACGAAGACATGTTTCAGGAAAGGATGTTTAGAAACATGTTCGAACCCACGAACCGTTGATTTTTACACTGCTACCATTACACCAACGAGCCCGTCCGTCTTCTTTTCCCAATATGTTTCAGATGAAAACAATTCTTCTCCTACACTTCCTTTTTACCGATATCGATATAGCCTTTAGAATGGCTCTATATGAGTATTTTTTAATGTATATCTTTAGATTATTTGTAATTCTTACAATACAGCAACGACCTAAAATTTATGTAACGTACCATGTTGCTGCAAAATAGCTAGACTATTCTAATCTATTTAAGCGTAAAACAAACTGAACTTTTCTAGCGTCAGTATGACTTTGACATTAGGGACTGAAAATGGAGGATCATTTTCAGTCCTCCCGTGACCACGGTTGTTGCTCAAGATCCGAAACATCGGGTCGCAGTTACAATGAAAAATAAGTTAACCAATATATTTTTACTTAAAATGAAATACTTATTAAAAGTGTTTCATTTAAATGTGTACTACTCGCGTAAAGTCGGTCATACGGATTATTATTGTCAAGATATAAAGTAGTAAAATTAGTATTACTTGAATTATTTCAAAATAATAACGGATTAAAGGTTTTGTCATGATGATAGAACATAATATCTTGAACAACTATCAAACGTCCGGTTAGTATTTGAGACCAAGGGCTCAATACGTTTGAATCATGATCCAAAAAAAAACCTATCAATATTAATTAGACCGCGTTACTTAAGACAGAAACAGCATACGGCCGCATATTGTGTTAACTGGGGAAGAAATAACACATTCTTATTTGTCTCTATACATCTTTTAATAACATTTTATAAACTAAATTATTTGGTAAACAGGCAATGGCTTAGTCCGCGTGGCGCACGGGGCACCCCATGACGTCTGGTATCCCTCGCCTTGGACCATTGCGTCTCCACATCCTCGACCCACGCTCACGAGGACCGGTCACGTGCATGTCCACCATACCGGGGTTTATCTCGTATACGTTCAGGTAAGTTGGGCTTTTTATAATTATGCATGTGAATAATGTATCTAGTAAGTAGGGTGTTCAGTCACCTTACTTACTATATTATTCCACATTAAAGCAATTTATTGGGATGAAAAAATAACCCCTGTAGTACTTAAAACTGCGTTTTAATATTACTTATTTAAAGATGTCACCAAACCCCCACATCGTGGAGATTGCGCGTGACGTCATATGTGGTCAAATTCGCAGGCCGCGGGGAATAGGTGCATTTAGGATTGCCTACGAATGACGTAATCATGATTTGTGGTTTGGCACAGATGAAAAATGTATCGATTTACAACAATGTATTTCTTCACTTAAAAATATTTAAAGAAATTATTACGTGAATAATAGTAAAGCCGCATATTTGATCTAAGTAGATTTAAGATTTAAATTCGATCCCTTATTGTATCAAATCTTTGTTAATTTTGTGATTGCGCTGATGGAAATTGATTTTCTAGCTTTACGTTCCTTGTTTAGATATATAAATGTTGAAATTCGAGACTAAACAGCCAAACCTGACCCTCGTCTAAACTTTTTGTCTCTTCTTTTAAACTGAAGTTGAATTTCTCTTTCTCCTTCTATTACAATGTTTGGACTCTAGGAAGAGCTTAGGATTTCTCTTCATCAATAACTGTCATGTCTATGCTAATATCAAAGTTTTTTTCAGATCTACTATCTCGATAGCCACGACATAATATCGTGGGTGTTACATCGCACTAACCCCTACATGGAGGGACGGGACACGCTCCTACAATGCGCCCAGACCTCGCACTCCGCGGAACCAATGGATAGACCTAACTCTTGCTTCTCAGCAGCGGCTCTGTTCCTCAGAGCTGGTGATAAGCTGGCAGTGCGGAACACTGGTGGTGACAGACACTCGCTGATGCAGCCAGAGAAGAGTTTTATAGGTCTAGTTAAATTGGCAGACGCGGATGAACCGATTGAGGAGTTGTAGTTATTAGGAATTGGTGTGGGTTTGTGGTACGAAATTATAGCGCTAAGGGAGACCAACCAACCAAAAAAAAAAAAAAAAAAAAAAAAAAAAAAAAAAAAAAAATTTTTGGGGGGGAAAAAAAAAAAAAAAATTTAAAAAAAAAAAAAAAAAAAAAGGGGGGGGCGCCTCCCCCCCCCACCCCCCCCCCCCCTTAAAATTTTTTTTTTATATATTTTGTAAAAAAAAATTTTTGGCCCCGCAAAGCTTATCGGCGGGGTAAATTTTTGGGTGTTATAAAAATTCAGGAAAAACCGCGTTCTCGTAAATTAATTGTGACATATGTATGCGTAGAAAATCGTACCACGGCCACTGAAATTAATATTGATCTAGATGTGTGTTAATCGATAATTTCTTTACTCGAAAATAATCGATTTTTTAAAATAATTTATTACAATCGTGTTAGATGTTATTATTATACTTAGGCTTAAGTATTGTAAATACCAAACTAATGTGTCAGTTAGGCTTTAGATCTTAATATTTTTATATTTAATAGTCAACGTGTGCCATTTACGGAATATTTTTTAATCTATCACTACAGGCTTTGATAGTAACGGTGGTAATATGATATCAAGATTACTATCGTGTGGTAAATAGCTTATATTCAATGTGACATTGTAATTATTGTGTATTTTTTTATTTAAATACTTTACCATTAAATTATAGAGGTTTATTTGAAGCCTTTGTTATACGAAAGTATAATAATTAAAGGGGAGAATTTCTTCTCCCAGGCACGTAAAAATACTTACGCATTGTAAAAATATCTTAGTTAAAAGAGCTGAACAAAGGATCCGTCTTCTTTCTAAGAAAAATATAGTTCTCGCTATTTACTTGGTTTTAAAAATAATTGATAATCGAACAAAGAAATTTATATTCAAACTAACTTCATTAAGAATCACGATAGATCTGTTACGCAATTTATTATAAGTACATTATTATGTAATTTATTTCTTTCTATAGGTGTTCTAAAATATAAAAATTTAGTCACTAAGAAATGCAATCTGGCATTGTCTTTAATTATAAATAAATATTATTAAAGTAATTGTTGTTTAATTTTACGTTGCCATACATTAAGGAAACAATCGATTCTCGGGCTGTGTTTGACGGCTTAACTCGTAAAGTTCTGTTGAATTGAAGGAGGTGGATGTATTGATAAAAAAAGACACACGATGTTCAAAGGAATGGAAAAAGCGCCATCCACTAAGGAGCATTTTTTTATATTTACGTGATTACCACTATTTCGTACGCCGTAGTACGTAGTATTTCGTCCCGTAGCACATTCACGTAGCCTTAATACTTAGGCACTGCAGCGATAAATTAATAAATCATTATAATGATATGAAAAAAGTATCTATTTGTAACTTGTGGCCTACTTATTTTGTTGGCACCAAAAGAATGTTTTGACCTGAAACGTTTCGTTCGATCCCGCGTAGTCTTAATTATATACAATTTGAAAAATTCATGTAAAAACTGTTATTCATATCATTCATTAAAACACACAAATACTATGTACCAATATATACAGTATTTGACCTCTGAAATGTACAATAATCCTCAATCACTTGAACTTAATTAGCTGGGAACACTTGATAGTCGATACTATCAGACTTCTGAAGTCAATTAATGTTCTGTCAGACTGAAAACTCATTGGTTGTGCGAATGAAATGGTTTTATATAGACTAGATAAAGATTTTTTTATTTGACCTTTTACGATTTATCATTTTTTCTTTTCTTTTTATTTTGCTACTGATAAAAACACTACTATTTTAAAATATCTATTTTTTTGTGGGCTGAGTAGTAAATTAAGAGGTATTTGTTATAATTTATTTTAACCTCTTTTAGAAATATTTATGTTTTTTAACATATACAAATTTATTACATTTTACAACCACTACTCGTAACGCAAACAAAGCCTAAACCATAATTTATATTTAGACAGATACGAATAAAAATTAAGAAAGTGGTTTTTATAATTTACGTTTTACAACGCAACGTTTGTTTAATTATTTTGTTAAGTTCTGTAAATTTGTAACAAGAAAAAAAATTATTTTCTAATGAAAATTGAGCTTGCGCGAAACTTGCGTACATCGAAAGAAAGAAAATTGCTTCTATAAGTCGAAAAAAACATATAAATTAGTTTGCACTATCGAATATTACGAGAACTAGATAATATATTTGAGTTACCAGAGTTTTGCGGCCGAGAAATGAGCGAGTGTGTGAAGTCGACGAGAGATAGCGACATTCAACCATAATAAATAACCATCCTTACCACTTCAAAGCCGCACTTGAGACCCAATGTAGTCTCCCGGCGAGTAACTGCCAAGACATCGATGCAAGAGTATTTTTTATAGCTCTTAACTAGCAAATGGAATTATCAGCGATCAATCATGTTAATATAACTAAATCACAGACATACAAACAATAGTCGATAGTTTGTTGATTCCTCGTCGGTGCTGAAAGAACTGATTTTATTCTTTTGTTTAAGAATTCTATTCGTGGTTATAGAAACAAAATAATCGCCCATTCTAGCAGTATACTAGTACTAGCGATAATACGATAGTCAAACAGATTATATATTTTATAAAAATGAGGGGAATTTTCCCAAGCATAAAGCAATTGAAAATAGGCGGCATTTAGGTAATGGCGGTTAGGTATATCGGATGGAATAATTTCCTTTCATGACATCGAGCGGGCGTCTTCAATTATACCGAAGAAAACCTTACAACAGCTCACGAAACTTTCCACGAAATATCCTTTGAATACAGCCTCACCAGCCTCAGAATTATTACTTAAATTACGTGTAAGTGACGTCTAATTAACGACAAATTGAAATAAAATATAATAAACAATTTTGGAAAATATATTTTATATTAAATTATGGTAACAAATAAAAAAACTTAGTTATGCCTAAAGGGTGACTTTACAGAGATCAAGTTATTGACCCCCGCTTCAATATTAAATGGCCGAAGTTTGTACAAGTAAGTCTCAGTAAAACGTTCTAGCCGACTGAATATAACCTCATTATTGAGACTAAAATTTTTCATCAATATTGTAGCCTTCGAAAGGGACAAAACAAATCTCTATAGCTTTACGTAATTAAGTCCTATGAAAAGTCTACAAACCTCCCAAATTAGCATTTTTATAGAATGAAGTTTTTAATGATGAGAATTCTCATTGAAAAGCCTGTAAGGCTTCAAAAAAAAATCAAACTAATGAATACCGGTAATTAACGTGAAGTGTATAAATTGAAAATGTCCGACAGCGTTAACCGTAGGGTGCCAACTAATGCAGGTCATATGCAACAGAGCTAATTTAAAGAGCATACTGTATACGGCCTAACTTTGCCGCCCGCACTATCGATCCAGTTATGTAACCCCCCAACCCCGCTCCCGGTTCATGCTGTAGGCGGCTGACAAATAGAGATGTTTTGAGTACTCGTTACTACTTGACTCAAAACTGAAATCTTTCAGTACTCGAACCAAATGGCGTAATTCTTTTAATAAAGAGTACTTACTACTGTTATTATTAAAGTGTTTAAATTAAATCATAGCTAATGAGAAAAGATTTCCTAGAATTATATTAATCCTAGAAATAGTGTTTTTAAGGTTTGTCCAGATTTAAAATAGACAATTGGACAGTGGAATGTTGTGACGCCTATACTGCGCCGAACTGTCAGGTACAGTCCCTTTGATGGCACATTTCCGTTAAACTAGCAATACAGCATAATAAAGCAATTACTAAGCATAAATCGAATTTAGCCGAATACTCGGTTTGCTAAATGGTTTCGTTACTCGGTAAAATGAGTACTCCGCGCATCTCTTCGGAAAGCTTAAGTCCATTTGTGCGCAACTTTTGCGCAGGCTTTCAGTCTCCCAGTTATCTTCCAGACTTACAGCTGCTCGAACGTGTTAAAAAACAGCTGACTTTGTTGTGGCAGTGATAAATGGTTTAAGGTAAGATTAATGATAGTCTGCGGTACGCTAGGCTATACCGACTTAGGTCATACTCAATATACATAATCTAGAGAAGAATAGGGTTTAAAATGTAATGAAATTAGAGATTTTATTTTCTTTGTTTGATTGTGCGACTGACCTATATACCTAAATGTTTGCTATTTAGAAAAATGCGATTAGAGCTTTTGCTTATTTACATAAACAGCTGTTACGTTAACAGGTGTTTAGATCGAATATCCTTTGCTTAAATAAATTTTATAAACACAGTGATAACGAACAAATCGTTAAGGTAGTAGTCCTATTCTCTAAATACTACATAATTCGCAAGCTAGCTAAGCCTACAAAAAGTTAAATAACAGCTTATTTCAATATAAATTTATATCTTAATTTTTTTAATTAAAAACTTGGTAAAAGAATTTGACAATTTACAAATTCACTTAGTAACCTGGAATAACACCAAATAATGCGAAAAATCCGTTGTTAAAATTATAACAAAACAAGGCATACTTTCATCGTAATCTAATAAAAAGTATTAATTAGTAGGCGTTTTCATTGAGGCCGTTTCGGACTTGTTAGTTCAGAAGAAATTAAAATGAATAAATTAATAATTATTCATGTATTATATAAAAGAATAGATGTACTGATATATATTGGTATAATTTATATAAAGTACCTACCATAAGTTTGCAAAAAATACCATGATATAGTCGGTTACAGAATATGTTAATTTTTATTTATTGCAAAGTAAAGTTTTAAAATTGATGAAAAACACCAAACTCCAGAAAACTAAAGTAAGAAACAAAGGAAAGTTTAAATAAACGTAAAATACTGAATGGCAATAAAAAAGACACCGCTAATAGTCAGCCAGTTTGTTTTAATAAACAAATATGAATACATATACGAAATTACGAATACATATAGATCCTGCTGTCTATAGTTTACGCGAGTAGTACACATTTAAATAAAACACTTTAACGGTTTAAAACGCGATATATTAGTTAAACTTATTTGAAAATGATTTTTAACTTCGACCCGACGTTTCGGATGCTTTGCAGCAGCCGTGGTCACGGGGAGACAAAGCATCCGAAACGTCGGGCCGAAGTTAAAAATCATTTTCAAATAAGTTTAACTAATATATCGTGTTTTAAACCGTTAAAGTGTTTTATTTAAACGAATACATATATATATAAACACTTAAAAATATTTTTTTGTCATAGTGAAAGACAGACAAGTATGTGTTTCATTTGATTGTTATGAGATTTCCCAGACATATAACATCTTGACAAGTTGCGCTGTCGCCCTATTTTGGCATTGGATATTCGGAAATCCACAGTTTTTCATTTCACGGCTTTTCCTTCTGAAAACGGATTTGTAAACCAGATGCGATCTAGATGAAGTGCAACATATTAAAAAAAAATGATTAGAAACATGTTGGACACGGCGGGGCTTGATCCCACCACTGGTTCAATATTAGCCATAAATTGACCACCATTAAACCGATCCCATCAAACACTTCCAATTACAAAACAAAGCATTCAAATTCTTATTTAGTAACCAAAAACAGAATGTATAATATATAAGGGACGAACCTTATCTCAGCGTAATATTGTAAAGTGATCTTGTTTTCGATAAGTCTTTTAGCGTAATTGGAGTCGAGGCGTCCTAGGGTACTTACTGTAATTCAATTTCTCAACACGAATACCCTTTGGAACGATAATATTTTGGAAACATCTAACGACCCTCTTCTTTACTGTTTTGTTAGTAATCATTTTTTTGCGAATTTTTTTTATTGGTTTATTGTTATGAAGCTTAGTAAAATATCTTTATAAATAACGTGGAACTCACATTGTCTAAAATGGTTAATAAGGGATAATATCCATATTATACGTAACATACCAATTTAAAAAAATATAAGTTTTATTAACTTTTATGATTATATTTGTGTCTGTTTCTTTTTGGCAGTAAATCTATATTATGATAAACTCTGTCTATGTATTTCATTTAATATATTTTGTTTAGGTCTCCCGCCATGATTATATTATACTTGTGGGCTGTAGCTGCCTGCTTCGTGGGCAATTCAGCGGGGGAAAGAGGGGGCTCTCTAAGAGGAGCCTTGGAAGCTCTACAGAGAAGACAACGTGGTCGTTTACATAACCAAGGACCTATCATAGCTCAAGACTATGATGCCTTATACGAATTTGTTCCTCCACAGCCATACGCAGGTAGGCATTTTATTTATACACACTGCAGATGACATATTAAGAAATCTATAAACGTATATTGATCCTTCATTTTCAGAACCAGATTACGCAGTGGATGTAGAAGATATCGAGGATGAACCATCGCCAAAATATATTGTGAAATTACTAGACAATGATAACCCATCTGAAGCATACGAATACAAAATAATCAAAAAGAAGAACTCTGTACGGTCTGCGAATAAAAAGGAGTCTGCATTCCGCGAACGAAGTCAGCATTCTGATAATGATAGACTTCGGGACCTCTTCATGGAAAGAAATGAACCACAAGAAAAAGAAGAAATAATCCAAGAGCGTCCTGAAAATGATGCAGATTATGCTATGCTGTTAGGACAACTCTGGAGCAAATATAGAAATCATAAAGCTGAGTCTAATCGAGCCGACAATGCTCCGCAAGGAGTCGTTAAGTTGTATAAAGAAAAAGTAGTAAAAAAAAGCTACCCCAATAGTTGGGGGCCGATTGCTTTTAAAAGAAAACGTAGTTCTGGATTCGAGACGGAACAACCTATAGAGTCGGATGAAAACAAAAACCTTGAAAGTCAAGATCAAGAAAATTCTAATTACAATTCATATGACGTTTCTGATGATGATAAGGATGACATAAGAGAAGAATACGCTATAGCATTCCAGCCATTGGATGACGATAGCTTATCCGATCTCGCTGATGAGGATCAACTTGCATACGAAAACATCGAAAAGCGTTTTCCCGTAACAAAGCGGAGCGGTGGCACAGAAAATATGAATATGCAAAAGAAACGTTTTGCGTTAAATAACAACAATGCTAAGACATTCCGAAGCGGCGCAGGTACGGACCCGAAAATTATCGAAGATCTTTCAAAAATCTTTGGCAATTCTGACTACGAAATAATAAAAAATCCAGTAAAACGTAGTAGCGACCACGCCGATATTCTTCACGATGTAAAACCTCCAATTTTACATGACCACGATAAAAACAGCACTCACAATAGTTCAAACCCATTGTTACACGAAGATGTAAGTCACGAACATCACGGTCATCCTCCGGGTGTATCCGGCAAAGAAATAGAACATGACGTAGCTCTACATGCGCATGATCATGATCACGACCATAGCCATAATCACGGTCAAAATGAATCAGAGAAGCCCAAAGTTGTTAAAAAGAAATCAGTAGACTGGTCTGACTATTTTGGGATCGACAAACGATTTAAAAAGTCAGCTTCATTGAGTGATGATAGACTGAAAAAGCTCTATTTTGATACGTTCAATAAAGAAGTTATCTATCCTGTAAACAGTTTGAGAAACAATGGTTTTATAAAACGGAGTTATGGTCCCCAAACGGTTAACCAGAACACTGCTAATGCTCCTTTGAAGTTACGTGGCGATAAAAGAAGCGGCAACGATGCTGAATCGAAATTGGATAATTTTGATAAAAAGTTGAAGAACATGGAAGGCATTATTGTGGACGAAGCCTTACAATATTCGAATATTGGCCATGATGATTTAGACTCTAAGGAAGAGCAAGAAATGAAGGAGAAGTTATTATCACGTCTAGCAGCAGCGTATAGTTTAGAAAAAATGCGAAAGGCTTTAAAAGAATTTAAACAAAGTTTACAAGTGCAGAAGACAACTCCTAGTTCCCAATCGACTCCAGAAGCTGACATGAAAGATAAAAGAGTCGCTGTCAAGAAGGAAAAAGTGATAATGAACAATGAAATACCGTCTCATCTACAAAATAGCGAAACAAATGAAGATTTCGAAGATGAACAAGGCGCTGGTCACTACATTAATGGAAAACTTGAAGAACAACTATCGGAAGGATATATGGGAGGAAGTGGACGACACCGATCGCCGGCGATATCGACAGGTACTAACACCTACTATGGATAAACGATATATCTTTATATGCTTGGTTGACTTTTGTTTATTTATTTGATTAATATCTTCTTTACAGTGAGTTCAACTGGTGCCTGCCCAGTCCTTGACAAAATTGTTAAAAGATGCCGTGGTGTCGATTTATTGGCTGGCGACCGCGGACAATTATTCCTTCCTCTGTGCAGTTTGCATCAAATATGTTATCTTTGTGTAAGTATTAATTTAACAATACATGATTAACAAAGACCTAAAAACTAACTAATATATTTATTCAGGGCGAAGCACCTCCCACAACGTGCGACTTAGTATTCCTTTCGGAGGCAGATTCTTCTTGCGAAGGGGATATGAGCTGTCAACGCGCTGCCCGGTCTGCTCTGATGGCTTTGAGGGAGCTTCACGACAACCTGGCGGACGAATTGGACGGTGAATGCGAAGCGAGCCCCTGCCTTCCAGCAACCCTCAAGTTAAACTTAGGCTGGCAAAGAGCTCTACAACGATAAAATGGCCGCCAATTTCGCCTCACCAATCGAGAGCGATGGTACCGATTTGCATGAAGAACCTGATGGAGTTCTAGCCCGAACTAAACGTTCGTTTGAAATTGATGTATTTTATCGTAAAAGATTTGTTACTATTTTGTAATACTTATTTTCTATATCATAGTTCTACCGTCTGCATTGATCGTGTATATTTTTCTAAAGATTTTCGTACGTATCTAGCCAGCCATAGATTCGTACGATCGGTTATCGTTATACAGTCATTTATAATTTTCTTCTTGCCGAGTTCTATTATACTTTACGAGCTATGCTTTTATTCGTATATCGTTCAAGATACGGCACTTTTCCTATGATTACAAACCTCATGTTATCGGTATAGTTAATTAAATTATGAATTTATAATATTCTATTATCATAACTTTATCGTTGTTAAATATTAACTTGCATTTAAAATTGTGTTGTGTCGACGTTATGAATGATTCCTAATTGTTACAAATGTATTTACGTGTAATTTTATTCTTAACTTTACGTCAAAAATTATTCTTAAATGTTAAACATTAAACGTAGAGTAATTCAATATAATATATAATCTATGTATTAAACGGTACATGTGTTAAATAATAGATGTACATGTAAACGAGAACATTAAAAGAAAATGAAGGTAAAATGATTTGCTTAAGTAACATGTGGATAAGGTGAAAGCGACTATAAAAATGGGAAATTGTGAATTTTCGATCGAAGAGCACAATTTAGCACAAGTGCACCTCTAGACTTTATTAGGACAATAAATCTTTATTTGCTTTCGCGAGACTAGTTTTGGTCTAGGAGAAACGCTAGGACTTCAAGCTTACTGTCTTCCGAAGGTGTTTGGCATTTTGATCCTGGAATTATACACGGCTTCTACGTCAACGGATCGATCTACACATTTGTAATCATATACATCATACTCGAGTAGAACTATTCGAACTTCGCGTCGTACGAACGATGTCAATAATTTTAAATCGATGTTATCTTTATAAAATATTCAGTCATGGTAACACAAATAAATGGTTTCGGAAAAAAACGTGTTGTATTTATCTTTTTCTCTTAAAAATGTGGTAGTTAAATCTGTCCAAACCCTTATATTTAATTTTTTTAAGTATTCTGTTGTAGTTACGGATTGATGGCCCCCTCGCTGCAAAACAACCAAAACGGCGGGCCGAAGTTAAAGAACATTTTCAAATAAGTTTAACCAACATATCGTTACATCCTGAAATTCCTCGGTTGGACATATCCATCAAAAGCAATGTAGTGCTTATAAATGGTTTTATAATTTATTTAATACTTCTATCATCCAGCTTATTACAAAACATCTATGTTTAAATCACATTTCGTCGATTATAATTTACCGAGTTGTAAAAAATGAAAATACCTACACTCCCTCTATAACATACATAGGTCCTAAAATATTTATCACAACTCGGTATAATAACAGGTATTATTCCTGAAGTTTTCATAAATATTATATGGTCACGTTGCACACACTTTTTCTGGTACCACCACATCTACAAGATAAATATACGTAGACAATATTTTGTACAGTATACTTAGATATTGTCTATAAAATTTTGAGAAAACATACCAAAATTTTTTGTAAGCTTAAACAATTCATTTAAGAAAAGTATTAACAAAATGAATCGTCAAGGTGTCTTTTTTATTTAATTAGAAATCGTTACACACAAGACTATATAATAACATGTTTCAAGTCGACGAACTGTAGACGATCGTGCCTGATTGATAGAGATATAGATTTATCAGCTGATAAGGTAACAAGCAAACACGTCGATAACTCAGTTCACACACGAATAAACAACAAAGAACATCTTAATTGAGTGTTTATACTATGGATTCTAATACAGCGTTCAGGGGAAGGAATAATCCTGGTGCTACACAAGGTAATTTTCCTTAATATTCTGTCTTACATAATTTCTAAAGTTTTTAGTATTTGCCTACAAAAATCCCTACTAGTTCATATCGCACCGCACTAATAAAAAATATAAGATATCTAGACCTAATTCCAGGAAAGGAATTATTATTATCAGTGCTTACTTCTTTTTTAATTTAGCCGGCTTTATGATGTTTATGGAAAATACCCTCTCTTACGTGGGGCATATTTGATCAGACTCGTGTATAATGCCGTTATGTTTCCCTAGTATTCGAACCCTGGAACCTATAGTGCTTAAGGCAATACCAGGTTTAAACATTCATCTATGGAGATTAACAATTATTTTACTGAAATAGAAATTAAGTCTTATGAGGTGGAACTTAGAAATAGTCTAATATTGTTTTAGATGACGGATCTGACCTACCTTCCTACGAGTTAGTAATAAACAATCAACCACAATCTATACGTAAGTATGATATAAGTTTGGTTTTTCTTTATGTTTAAGTTTAATGTTCAAATTTATTTTCTCTCGGGGACAAAATTTTATGTACAACGCTTTGTCTCAATATAAACCTAATTGTTCGATTGATCCTTATTTGTGGTAGAAAAGCCAGGACACAAGATACCTACATACATACATAGTACTTTTCAGATTGCAAAACTGAATGTAGCTCCATCACTTATTATAAAAACAAATATTCAACAATAAATATTTGTAAAGTATTTACTTAACCTGGCCACATCACACATGTATTTCCTTTTGAAGTGCCAACTTTTTAACGACGTGTGTATCTTTTTGTAAGGAGTTTAAACGCAAAACTCGAGCAGACACATTACCGCGTTTGTTAACAATAAATAATTAAATAATAAAAGAATATTGTGTTTTGATACATAAGTAATAGTGCTTACGGCAAAATTATTGACAAAAACAAAAATGTATTGGTAATATTCAAGTCTAATCACCTCGATAAGTGATTAGACTTGAATAGTTGTACTAATACTTTTTTAATATATAGGCGATATTAGGGCAGAACTGCCGGTATCATCAGTGGCATGGAATACCAACCATGTGTCTCCTCTAAGACCTATGCACGGTCTGGATTTCCTGATTGGTGTCTCATCATTACTCATTCAACAGACAGTCGAAATACATCACTGTAAGTAATAGTAGTATTAACTATGTAGCTAGACAAAGAACTTACTTTTTTAGAAGAACATATTCTGAAAGTTGAATCCTTAACTACTGTCTATAGTTTACGCGAGTAGTACACATTTAAATAAAACACTTTAACGGTTTAAAACGCGATATATCAGTTAAACATATTTGAAAAATTATTTTTGTCTCCTCGTGACCACGACTGCTGCAAAGCATCCGAACCGTCGGGCCGAAGTTAAAAATCATTTTTCAAATAAGTTTAACTGAATATATCGCGTTTTAAACCGTTAAAGTGTTTAATTTAAATTGAATCCTTGATGTCTATAATTTCAACTTAAGAACCACGAGGAGAACAGACAAGCATGGCATTTATTTGATGGTCGGTGCAACACCGCGGCCATATAACATCTAAACAAGATGCGCATGAAACCGAAACGCGATTAAAGTTCACGGCTTTTTTCATATGTGGTCCGTTAGAACATGGACGAAACTTCGATATTCCTGATATTATAGCTTAAAAATACTTAATTTAAAATATTGAGTTTGTAAGTAAGCATGTTTACAGTCAACTTTAAAATAATATTTAACTTTAGTCATTATATTAACATTTGAATAAGTGTCATCTACCGATGACGGAAATAAAATTAAAATTAAAATAGTATACATCAACATACCGACAAAATTCTGTAAGATATTATCTGCGCAATATTAGGACGTTTAGTCTAATTATACTTAAATTTCATATTTGAAATTTCATCTTACTCATATTGAATGTCGTGCAGATTCAGATGTCTTAATTCAAACAAGAGAATACTTAGATTAATAAAGCTTAAGAGATTAAATCTAAGGTTCTCATTGTACTACTTCCTACGCTGTGCGTGGGTAGCTTTTAGCTATTCTATCGGCTTAATTTAATTGCTCCCAGCTTACATATTTTATAGTGTGTCTCACTCATTATTAAATCAAATTCCGTTATTTAAATATACTTTAATGTGTGTTTGTGCATATTACAAAACTTTTTTAATTTTAATAAATGCTCCGAGCATGAGGGTAAGTGCGGTAGTTCATGAGGGTAGGCACATTTCTCGTAGTTACTGATTAAATTAATCATATGAGAATTATGTTCGTTAGCTATTTACACTATATAGTAATAGATGCGAAACAATTTTCTCCAACAGTAACATCGAACATCAAATCGGAAAATTTGTATACTGTAAAAGTGCCGAGCGGTCAAACCTTATTCTTGGCAAGCGAAAGTTCGTCAAAATACCAGAGGCTATTCTGTGGCGTCGGACGGGGTTTTACAATGCAACTGCACGATAATACTAGACAAAGAGTTATGGACATGGAGAGGAGATTGGCGGCAGCTTCGTGCTGCTTCCCTTGCAGACTTCAGGTTTGGTCTTACCTAAGTTGTTTACCGAAATTATTGGGTGAAATGATTTGGTAAATTGAGATTTGTTATTTGGTGCAAATGTTTAAGCAATAGTGTAATAATTCTATCGCAATAGGTAGAGTCTGTGATGCTAGAATATGTTTATAAATAAATAAATAGATCATTTGAGTTACATTTCCTAAAATGATCTATTTAAGAAATGTGTAACAATATTTTCTTAATTTTATTCTAATAAAAGAAGTATCTGTGGCAATAGAAAAGGTACTTTCTTAAACTTATAATAACAATAAACCAAAAATGATGGGTTGGGTTACTAGGTTACTTAATTAAAAATGGGAATGGTTTACTAGGTTACTTAATTAAAAATAACCAGTGGGACTTCACCATATTCTTTAAGCAAGCGAGATTCTGGACTCTTTGGATATTAAAAGGCAAATTCAAAGGTTTACTTTTACCACAAGAAATAATAAAATATAGAATGTTTTAACTTTAATTATATACCTGCTTCTTGCTCGTGACTTTTAACATTGGTTTCATCGAGATCGCTTGTAGTGGAAGAGATTACAACATCTTTGTAAAATTTCCTTTCCTTCTGGTTCATTTTACGCTATCAGTTACATATTCTTTTTAGGAGATGCAAGTGGTAACACCACCTGGTGATTATCTTGGCCGAGTCCAGCAACAATGGACCTGGCTTGTACCATTTTACCTCGTAAAGAACGTTTCAGATGATGTACAATACGTCATAGAGGGACCGAACAGTTTGGACAATCGAAATTTAATATTTGGTGAATTTAAGGTACCGGTATCTTTTACAATGCTCGGTAATAGGTTAAAGTTTTTTTTAATTCAAAATATTTTTTAATTTTGTATTAAATTTTGCCTTAAAATTTGCATTAAAACCTGCTCGAGAACCCTCTGCTACTTACACTAGTCAAAACGCAAATAATATTCCAATAAGCTAAAAAAACTTTAATGTCCACAAAATACATTTTATAAATGTATATTTTTTTATATGGTATTATAATTAAACTTATGATGTTATATTTTGCAGATATTAACAGGCGATTCGTTGCGTGTAGTGGGCAAAATATCCCACAGCTGGGATCGCGAATTGAACAGTTTCGTAACTTCCGTCGAATTTCCACACTGCGCAGTTGAACCAAAACAAAAAGCCCTACTTCTAGCAGCTACCTTTTTAATAGTAAGATTAATATTATTTTGTGGTTTGCCTTTAAAAGGATACGTTACAATAATAAATTAAAATCGTCAATTGTTACAGGAATACACGTATTTCGAAAGAGCCAAAACCAGTTGTCTGCGATTTAATTGTTGCTGACTGTTCCTAATCCTAAAATCTCATTATTCCAATTTCTTATTTTTATAATAAAATATTTTTTATACTAGCAACATTTTTTGATTTAATAATAACCTCTCGCTGTGGGTTAGGCTATATTTGAAACCTATTTCGGTCTACAGATAAAAAACAAAAGTGTAATAAACTTTTTTGATCTGGTCTCTTGGCTCTTACAATAAGTAAGTAACCTAATAATTGGAATCTGACAATGCCAATAATATAAACAAATCATTTCATATTGCAGTTTACAATATTTTTTTGTAATAATATTTATCTTAGAAGCATTTACGGTATGGTGAATTCTGATTCACCATGCAAATCATTAGAAACAAAAAGGGATAGAACTTGGTTATATAAAGAGTATTATAGTGGCGATAGAGATTCTGAAGGGAGGAGGGATGGTCACGGAAGGAATAATTGGTCTGGAGCAAAGGTATGTCCATGGAATTACCATGACTCTGTACTGTCTGTGACTTACTCTGTGCGTATGTACTTAACCTCCTCTAGGAGTTGCTTAAAGGCTAGGCAAGAAACTTTTCAGTTTATCCTTCGATTTCTCCATAAATGAAACAAGCACAAAACCTAAGTAGGTATTTAAAGGAATTTTGTAAAAATTCATAAAATGTTTGAGTAATCATTAAAATTTGGTTATAATTACTTATGCATATATTAATTTTGTTACATACTTACTTAAATACAGCTATTCTAGCCGTTTCCTTAACTTAGTAAAATTACACGTTAATGTTTAAAAATGGCGCTGTGTTCCACACAAGGAAGTTTGTTTTTTTATAAGATATAATGAAATATACATTTAAAGATCTGAATAACGGTATAAAAATAAACATATAACAAACCAACGTTATCAATAACCTAATTATGGTTTAAACTACCCTCACTCACTCACTCCAACAGTCCCTAGAAAGTTACCATGGCAATTTCTCACATGACACAATGCACGGTCCTGGTGAATACCGTTGGAGACACCACGGCCAACACGGAGCCTTTACTTACGAGGGGTACTTTTATAATAATAGTATGCATGGATATGGGATTATATCCTTTCCAGATGGACGGACCTTTAGAGTGAGTACAATCTAGAAGACTGCCTGTAGTTTACGCGAGTAGTACATTTAAATAAAACACTGAAACGGTTTTAAACCCAATGCTTTGCAGCAGCCGAAACTTCAGGACGTAGTTAAAATGATTTTCAAATAAGTAAAAAAAAATTTTAAAAATGTTTTAAGAAAACAATTGTGAATACGTTTCAGGGTATTTTCAACAATAACATAAGATGGGGTCCCGGTGTACAGTCGCATACGACGATGCACGAAGATGTAGGACTCTGGAGAGGCGCACAGCTAATAAGACTTGCTTGGAAGCCGCCTACGCCAAGTGTAGCACCTGATTTAATGTCTCATTTAGTTGGAAGGTCGATCGTGGAATCGCATAGACGGCTGTTGGCAACGAAAACTAAAATCGTAGGTGAAATGACTTTAGAATAAACTATAATGATTGTTATAGCTATTAATGAAACGGCAGGCGGAAAGGCAACAGATATCGAATACTTGCTCTCGCTAAAATAACTAGCATCGAAATTGATTTTCTCAGCGTGATAACTGGAGTACTTTTTGAGATTGGTGTATAAGTATAAGTATTGACAGAAGAATTGGGTATTTTTTCAATATCATTTCCATTTTTGTTATTTAATGTACAGAGTAATTATTCCTATCGCTTTGTTATAGTCTAGATAAACACTATTATAGCCTACAGGTACCTATGTACTAATAATATTACACTTTTACCAGCAAATAGCTTATGTGGCAATAAGAAATAGTACATAAGTTAAGATTGACGCTTTAATGCATATAATGTTTCAAAGCTGAAATTAGGTTGGTTCAATAATTTAGAAACGCAGGGAACGCGTGCTTATTATTGTTATATAATTTGCCATTTTAAGACTAACCAAAAGCTCCTTTAGATAGGTGAAACTAACAGCGCATTGGATCTCCTAAAAGACTGCGGTGCTAATCCGGAATCAGCTGTGGAGAGATGGATTAAGCTGTATCCGAAGGATTGCACGGACCTCGCCAGTCCACTGTGTAATATTGAGCATTTCGATCGCGAATATTACAAAGGAAACATACAGACGACATTGAAAGAAGTATCTGAATTACAATTTGAGGTAAACACATTTCACATTAAAATAATGATACGCTAGGGGAAGATCCGATAAGATTGACGCAGTTGCTATGTGACAAAATCTTACTCTCACTTTTAATTATTGTTAACAAAACAATACTAATTCAAATAAACTGTGCCTAACATGTACACCTAGGTGAAAGACGAAAGAAACGTATGTTCAGGGTATAGCGAGGGATAAAATCTAGTCTACGTATGACGTAGATTCATTTTTCTAAAACGTATAATGGCATGAATACATCCAGGTTTTGTCCTTTAGAAAATTACTCAATTATACATATAAATACATTTCTCTTAATGAGATTATATATTTAAATTTTTCTCCGGGAAATAGTGACTGTGTATTTATTATCCAGGATCCACAAAGCACCGGGGACCGTATTCAAAACGAATTTTACTATGCGTGGAACAATAATAATACTATAATTAACATGATGAAACATTGTTATCAACACGAGCGACAGAGAGACAAATCTCAAATAGATTTGACATCAATTTTATCTGGTCCAAGAAGATCATTCAGGTCAGCCGGAGCACATGAAGCTGACTGCAGGGCACTGCTTTTGACCAGTTACTTAGGATATATTGTTAATGTCGCACAATTAATAAATAGCCAAAATGTCCACCCGAACATTTGTGATATGCAAGGGAATTCAGCTGTTATGTACGCTACGGTAGGTATACTCGTAGATTTAAACATTAAAAACAAAATGAAACACCTTTTTTAAACTTTGTTTTTAAAATCACCCGATACGTTAAATTCTAATTTAAATTGCCACGTTAAAATAAAAATATAACCTTTGTAAGTCAGTAATAAATTGCATTTACGTGATCATACAAGGTTAATTTATTCGTCCAGATAGACACAGAAATGGAAGTGCTGACTGTTGATCACCCACTTGTAAATATAGTAATGAAATTCTCATATAATTGTGTCTCAATGTAGAGACAATAACTCAGTTAGCAATGTTTTTTAAAATAAAACACTTTTTTAAAATAAAACGAGAAGTGTATTAACTAACTTATTCATTAAATTCTCGTGTTATTTGCAATAGCACAGTTAAAGTCAATAATAATATAAATTCCGTTAATTTTTACAGTGTGGAGATCAAGCTGATGTTATCCGCTTTCTTGTGGAAGCTGGTGCCAGTGTAAATGACTTTAATGATTCTTGTTGCACACCTTTAGGAGTAGCACTTATGCGGTTCAGTTGTGCTGTTAATGAGATACCTCCAAACTTGATGCTTCAAGCTCTAATACCTCCACCAGTTTCACCTGCACCTGGTAAGCAATGCTTATCTATACTCTATAGTTATATATAAAGCTAAAGGGTTTGTTTGTTTGAACGCGTTATTCTCAAGAACTACGGGTTCGAGTGAAATATTTTTTGTTCAAGGAAGGCTATAAGGCTATAAAACATCGCGTTGTGACTAATAGAAGCGAAGATGCTGCGGGTAATGTGAACAAAACGGGGGAAATTTTTCATCTCTGTAGGTTTCTGGTGCGTACGTTGTGAAAACGGTTCAAGACACCCAAAAAATATGTATGAAAATGCCGCTTTAAATTATTAAAAAAAAAAGTCCGCGACGCTATATGTCTATCTTTTAAGATTAACTTGTAAGAACGACGGGAAGAGATGCAACCGACGTTGTTGGTTATAAAGGTTTGCAAAACCGAATTTGGATGCCCAAATTAAAAAATTCTTAGAGGACGAAGTCGCTGGCACAGCTAGTTTTTTTATAAAGCTGTAGCAAATAAAATTTGCTAGAAATTCATTTTAATAAAGGTTATTTCAGCCACAGGCGAACCAAAAGTCTTCGAATGGAATATATTACGGGATCAGTGGTCGCAAAGTACTGGTCCCATGTTAAACAAATCTCCTAGCAAAACGGGAAAGAGTGGTAGTTCTAAAAGAATTAAATCCCTAATGTCTATCAAGGACCAACCGCCAGGCAAAAAGAAAACTGATACTACACCTCTTAAGGCACCCGAACCCGCCTATGATTCTGATGATTCGCTATCGGATAATAAAAAAATTTATATAGATGCCAATAAAGAATATTCTATTAAAGTCAATGATATATTTTTAAACGCATACGCCGATGTACCCTATATATTCGAAGTAAGAGATATGATAATGGACATTGAAACTACCGAAGACGAGCCAAAGAAAGTGCCGGAAAAGAATCCAAAAAAGGTTGCTTCAAAGGTTATTAAAGACACAATGAAGACGAGTAAAGTTCTTCTTGGTCAAAGCAAAGAAATAGTAGGCGATTCTTCACAAACCAGTTTCGAAAAAGTACGTACGGAAATGTAAGTGTTTTACAACAGCCGTGGTCGCTAAAGGGATCAAATGTATGGTCATGATAAGAATTAATTAAGCTTCTTGGGCTTTCTAGCTTGAGTTATAGAAGAGGTTGTACGTTCTTCGACTAAGCAAAGACTGTGAGATAACGAAACGTCCAGAACAAATTCTTAATTTTAACGGCCCAAGATTTCGAAAACCTAAGAAGCTTTGCAAAGTGGCCGCGAAAGTACAACAATGACAATATTCGTGTTTTAAACAATCAAAAAGGATTTTTTTAACAATTCGTATAAACTATAATGTTTTCTATATCACATTATTTTAATGTCACGTAAATTATATTTTAGGTTGGCTAAAATGAAACTGACGTTACTCGAACTGCTGGCAAATGGTGCTAAGCCGCAGCTGGTTCGGTGTCCACAATCAGCGTTAGTGATCGCAATAACGAGCAATAGCCCAGATTTGATCAAACATTTAATTAATTATGGCGCTGATGTAAATGAAATTTATCCACAAGTACGTGTGTGGTATACTTACTCTTGCGTTAAATATAGATTTGGTAATAGTCCTATCTACTTTATTAATTAAAATATTATTGTAAAATTAAATTATGAAAATTGAGTTCCGAGACCAACATACCGAGCAGAAAACTACTATCGATTCCTATTTAAGCTGAGTGCATAGGTGGAAATTACAACGAGAAAACTTTCTAAAAGCTTTTAGTGACACTCATCCAACTGTTCAAAACGCGAAATATTTTCATATCCCCCTTAACCCCCATGATTTCGAAACAATATGATTGATAATTGATATGTATCGAGTTTTAAAAGTGTTTAGTTAATATATCTGTCAAAAAAGGTTTTAAGGTGTTTGTTAAATTATAGATATATGGTTATTCACCATTAGATGTGGCAGTGGCAAGACCATTCACTTGGGACAACTTAGAAATAATAAGAGCGTTACTAGAATGCGGTGCAAATGCAAGGCGAGGTATTCACTATCAAGTTGATTCATCGGATATAACAGTTGCTGTAACACGAGGATCGCCGCCTACTTTGCTGCATGCTGTTCTAGCTAGGAGGGTGGAGGGCGAACCTGAAGAAGAGGTAGGAATGTCATTAAGGGACACTTAATAAAGTAAACCTTTTGGGATAATAACTCTTTAGGGTCTATATATACATTCACCTTTAATTTTTAAGTATGTTAATAAAATGCATACTATTATAATTTTTTTTCATAAATTTGTAATTAAAAACTAATATATGAGAATTATCGTTCGGCTCGTGGGGTTTAGAGTTCCATTTCTATATATTATATATTTCTGTGTATAATACAATGATAACTTAAATTTACATACAGGTAGTATTGTATCCTCGGAATTCAAACTTAAATCATTTTGCGTTAAATCTTAAGTCCGTATTGTAATACTTGTAATGTTTCTTTTCTTAATCTACAGGTACGCCGTCAATTAGTTAATCTTCTCCTGGATTACAACTGCAATGCAATTTCACAATTCAAAGGAAGATCTGCGATGGATGTAGCTATGACGAAGAATATTGATTTATTCGATGTTTTCATAAGAAACAGAAGGACTAACCTGAACTGCACCATCAATGACCTGAATCAGACTGTTTTAGTGAAAATGTTTTGGAACCCTTATTTTAAGAGTATTGGCAGTTTAGAGAGAATTCAAACGGTATGCTAAATATGGTAGAATTAAGTAAATAAGGGTTTAAATAAAGTACTTTAACGATTTAAAACGCGAAATATATTAGTTAAACAAGGTTAAATGTGTACTACTCGCGTAAACTACTACTACTAAAGTATTTAAATGAGAGTTTTTATTATTATTAAGATAGTTGTAAAGAATACTATAATAAAAATAAAAGCTATTAGGGACACCGATAGATGACCGGGTGATCCGTCCACATTATCTTTTATTATTTTTATTAGTAAGACATCGTGTTATTGTTCTAAGGTTAGCTTGGATACTAGAGATTCGTTTGACCTTATACCTACAATCTTTATAATAAAAACAGACTTCTAAAGTGGGAAAAAGCCTTCAGCCTTGTTTACGGAGAAACCTATGAATTTGTTACATGCTTTTTTCAGCTTACTAATCTACTAGTATATGGTGCTGATCCTCTGCTACCGTGTGAAAATGGAACAGAAAAATACAAAAATATATTTGTCTTCGCCAAGAAGACATTGGGTGAAATGGAAAACATACAATCAGGTTTGAACAAGAAAATTCTATTTTGTATAGTAAATTATGACCTTTACGTAAGAATTAGAAACAAACACGGCACGCCAAAGATAAAAAACTTCCTATGTATGCCCTGTGTAGATGATAAGTTTTTTTTTATTGGTACTACGTAAAAAAAGAATCGTATCGAATTGTACATATATACTATAAAAATTTTAGTCGGTGTCCAAGACCCAAAAGTAAAGAAGCCTGAAAAATCTAAGAAAGAAGAAAAGTTATCCACCAAATCCATAGGGAAAATGGTAACAGATGACAAAGAAGATTACAAACAGGCTATAGAGCTTGTAACAGAATGTGCCAGACTTCTACACATCCGATGGTTGCAAGGAAAATTGATAAAGGAACTAATCGAAACTATAGACAAGTATGTTAATAATAATATCGTAATAGTACACATACCATATTATTACTTGTAACGGTTCAAAACGCAATTATTTGGTTTTAAATTACGATCCGACTCCTAGGATTCTTTTGAGCATTGGTCACGGGGAAATAATTACAACGTTATCTAAATGTGTTCTACTCGCGTAAACTATAGACAGTACTTGCGATATTATTCATACTTAAAAACAATTAAAAAATCCAATGCATGACACATGTTTATCTATGTTTTCACAAATTTTATTTTCAAGTTTATCTTAAATTTTATCAATGTTTTCAGATACAAACATCGGCAATGGAATATAATTCTAAAGGATTGTAAAAATAAGAAAGGCATCGGTGTTTGGATTACACCGCTTCGCTGTATCGAAGTTTGGAATATCCTCGCTTCCACAAAGAAGAAAAATTTTACCGACCGAAGAGTTTTGAAACATCTACTTAATATTGTGACATTTCTTGCTTGGCGATTCTATTACCCGAAAAAGAACGACTTTACCCCTGGAGCAAGAGTAACCGCCGTTGTAAAGGATCTTATTGAAAAGGATGTGAACTTTATTTTAAAAGAAAATAAGCCGGCGGGCCAAAAGATTGACGAAGACAGCCTGTCTTGGAAGTGCTCATATGTGAAGCCTGAATTGGATAAGACGGTAAGTAAAACATGGTGCTTGTAATGCAGTAACAATCAAATTTCGGAGTCCATTTCTCTGTGTATATAGTATATACATACATTACTCTCAAAAGTTTTGTTTGAAATGATATCTTAGGTATTTGCGTTACGATGCTGTGTGCCTAGATCACCATATAAGTATAAACTTGCTTAAGCTAAGTTTAAAAAAATCTTTTGAATTACGTTCTTAGCTAAAACATTGATTGAATGATGAATTTTTAAAATAAATTATTTTAATATCTTTGAAATGTAATACAAAAATATACATTCGACTTTATTTCTAATTTATTATTAATTTTTAATTCTTAATTCTAATTTATTGCTTTCTGTTCAGGAAAACAAGTTCAAAGTTTGCTTCGAATGTGCATTGCCATTAGCTGAAACCAGTATAAAGTGCAGCGTTTGTAAACTTGTTTCGTTCTGTTCCCTGGATTGTATGAGAAAAAATATAGAAAGAGCTAACTGTCATCCATGTAGCAACGAGTTGAAAATTAAGTATTTCCTACCAAGTGACTCACACATAAACATTTTTTAGTTATTTTTGTATCAACTTTTGAGAATAAAAATAGATAACTTATTTAAAAAAAAATGGTTATTAGATAAACCCTTTGTCCTTTCCTGTCTACGTAAAACTTGTTTGCAACTTTCTAAAATAAAATTAGTTATTTTAAAAGATTAATACATATTATAAACAATTTTGACTGATTTGCCTTAGAATTATACCAACGCATGTTTATTTAAAATAAAAACATATAATCTGTGGTCAATAATATTTCAGATTTATACTAATGTCATTGTCAAGTTTGTATTTCACAAATGTTTTGAATATTGCAATATTGTGAAATGTAGTTTTATATTATAGATATAAAATATAGTTTTTTGAATAAAAAGTTTTATGAAATTTATGCAAGTACGCATATTCAGTACCTTTCCCACCATGGCTTCAGCTGCAAAGAAAATTAAACTTTCGAAACCGTCATCTAGCACCGAAACGAAAACAAGTTTGGAAGAGTTCGCTAAAAGTATTCAGAAAAAGCGGGAAAGTACCGCGGAGTCAATTTTACAGTATAAGTTTAATAAGAAACGCGTTAGAATAATATCTCAGGAGCAAATGGTACCAGATAAATGTGAGGGAGTAGTCTATTGGATGTCAAGAGACAGTCGTGTGCAAGATAATTGGGCTTTCCTATTTGCTCAGAAGCTAGCATTAAAGAATGAAGTACCGCTTCACGTGTGTTTCTGTTTAATTGCCAAATATTTAGATGCGTCGGTGCGACAGTTTCACTTTTTAATCAAAGGTAAGGATTGATTCTTTTTAGCTATCTAAAATATTTAAGATATAAACAAGCTTAATCGCAGTAGATATCAACTAAATTTTTGGTAATAGTTTGATAAATTGCAGTGTATTGTCTATTTTCAGGATTAGAAAAAGTTGCATCCGACTGTAAAAAACTAAATATATCGTTCCACTTATTGGAGGGAAGTGGGGCTGATGCATTACCACAATGGGTTGAAAAACATCATATTGGAGCTGTAGTCTGTGATTTTAATCCTTTGAGAGTGCCACTAAGTTGGCTTGATGGGGTTAAGAAGAAGCTTAAGAAGGATGTCCCTTTAATACAGGTTGTACACATTGCATCTATTTTCTTTATTGTAAACAAAGTTGCTAGATCTTTAGTTTGAGACAATTATAAGGTAGTCAACCAATTACAAAAATGTCCTGAGAAATTTGTTTTGCTTCTAATCAGAATCCAAAATGTGATCTAACAGTAATTTATTTAGTATTAAAATTATATTTTGAATCATTCATAAGACAGGATTCAAAAATAAGATAATACTAATATTACAATAAAAAGCTAACTAAGCACGAAAATGATTTATCAAAGCAGTAATATTACATAAAACGCAAAAGGTCATTCACAAATTTACAGGTTGACACACACAATATAGTACCCTGCTGGGTGGCATCAGATAAGCAAGAATACTCAGCGCGAACAATCAGGAATAAAATCAACTCTAAATTAGATGAATATCTCACAGAATTCCCGCCTGTTATCAAACACCCTTACACAAGCAAGTTTGACTCCGAGGTAATATTTTCAATACCTCTATTAAAACAAAATATTTCATACAAAATTTAAGTATATAGTGTATATAAAGTATAAGTAAGACATATATAAATAGCAAATACTAAGTAAAAAGGGTTTTACTTTTGTATTGCCATTAAATAATATATAATATTTTATTACTATTAATTTTAGGCCTTTAACGTTTTCTAGTTAAAAAAAAATGTATTTAATATCTATGGTATTTTTAGCCTATAGATTGGGATGATGCCATAGAATCTCGTGAAGCTGATAAGTCAGTAGGACCAATAGAATGGGCAGAACCAGGATATGATGAAGCCATTAAAATGTTAAAGGGATTTATAGACACGAGGCTTAAAATTTTCGCAACAAAACGTAATGATCCTACACATAATGCACTAAGCAATATGTCGCCCTGGTTTCATTTTGGTAAGGTAGTGAAAAATAATTAATATTCATTGTATTTATTTTAAATTCTTACATATTTACTACTATTATTAATGACATAATTTGATACTATTTTAGAATGGTAAAAAAAATTCAAAAGAGCTAAATTGTTGGAGCATGGTACACTTTTGGCCATTGGTTTCAATATGGCTTATAATTTGAAACTAGAGGTTAGGAAATGATTGACAGCCTAATGATGATGAACAAATGTTTTTTTTTTAATTTTCAGGTCAAATATCCGTTCAACGAGTTGCATTATGTGTACAAGAGTACAAATCTAAGTACACAGAGAGTGTGAATGCATTTCTAGAAGAAGCAATAGTGAGAAGAGAGTTGGCAGATAACTTCTGCTTTTATTGTGATAAATATGATAGCATTAAGGGGGCTAGTAACTGGGCACAAAAGACACTTGATGATCACAGGTTTGTATACTTAAGTTTTGTGACAATGTAAATACCGTTAACAATTTGATACTATATAAATACTGTAACATTGTTATCTAGTTCGTTTATAAGTACACAATGTTTTGATAGATTACAATCTGTTCAATTGTGAGGGTGTTTCAAAAATTGTCCTTGCTTGAACGTATATTATTATCTTTCAGAAAAGATAAACGGACGCACATATACAACTTAGAACAGCTATGCAAAGCTGAAACACATGATGACCTATGGAACTCAGCACAACTTCAGTTGGTGCGCGAAGGGAAGATGCACGGTTTCCTACGAATGTACTGGGCTAAGAAGGTTCTCGAATGGACGCCGAGCCCTGAAGAGGCACTACGCTGCTCGATATACATGAATGATCATTACAGCGTAGACGGTAGAGACGCTAGTGGTTATACTGGTATGAATATCATAAATATAATCAGCTGTTATAGTATTGTACATATTTAAGGAATGTAAGTGCATGTAAATTAAGTTTTTTTTTATGATAGAGGAGAACAGACGTGCATGCGGTTCATTTGATGGCAGGTAAAATATTCGTGACGCAGGCGGAATTTTTATATTACTACCAGTTAAATCAAAATTTCCAGATGATGATTAACATGTTTCAAAAAAACCACCACCAGGTGGAGATCGAACTCACGACTACTCTTTTATTAGCCATAATGCCATACACTAATGAACCTACCAAAAGTGTAGATTTTAACAGGTCGTACGTTCATAAATGTACGTACGACCTTTGTCAATATATAATATTTGATTTGATTTATTGTGAACAAGTTTTGAAACTTCGCCATGTCGTCTCAGGTCATATCTTGAACTAAATAAATTTAAATCTTGAAATAAATTGTGCTAAAACAAACAAACCAGAATACTTCATTGTCACTACAAGAATATTACAAATATAAGATTTTACTCGAAGAAATTACAAAAATAAATTGAGCTAAATTATGTTATCGCTAAAAAGGGTTTCTTACAGGCAACCTTGAAGATGGAGGTTTAAAATAATAATTAATAATAAGGGTAACACTAGATCTATATGCTTATACGAAGCTAAGAATGTTCTGAATCTAGTCAATGCGGAATCCCTTTTTTATATGATTTGCAGGTTGCATGTGGTCCATATGCGGCATTCACGATCAAGGTTGGGCGGAGCGAGCGGTGTTCGGGAAGATCCGTTACATGAACTACGAGGGCTGCAAACGAAAGTTTGACATTAAGGCGTTTATCGCAAGATACGGCGGTAAAGTGCATAAATATGTGCCCAAGAAATAATTCAAGTTTAAAAGGGAAGCAGATTTGGCAATTGAATCTCTAGTGATGTTGGGACTTATCGATGCTCTAATATTCAACTACAAGTATTTTATCGAAAGGCATTTTTCCACATACAAATAAAACAAGAGATAAACACAAAATAACGTTACTTATAAATAAGATGTATGTGGAGGGACACCACACTACTTCTATTGTACCTTTGTTTATCTTTTATTAAACATTTGGAGTAGAACTTATCTTAATTAAATCAGCTACCTCATTACATCATTGTGGATCATAGTAATTTTTGTAACGGCAATATTACGAAAATTGTAAGCAATTGTTTTGCATGTTTCATTTCTATAGAAGTAAATATTATATACTGTCTATAGTTTACGCAAGTAGTACACATTTAAATAAAATACTTTAACGGTTTAAAACGCGTTATATTAGTTCAACTTATTGAAAATGATTTTTAACTTCGGCCCGACGTTTCGGATGCTTTCCAGTCTCTCCGTGACCACGGCTGCTGCAAAGCATCCGAAACGTCGGGCCGAAGTTAAAAAATAATTTTCAATAAGTTTAACTAATATATCGCGTTTTAAAGTGTTTTATTTAAAAGTAAATAATATTTTTATATTTGTCGCTTGTAAATGAAACAATGTAAAGGTTTTTATCTCTTGTAAGATTGTTTAATAATTGGTACGCTAAATTGTACATCACAACTACAATAAGCTAGCTCTAAGTATGTTTGTTCTATTAAATTTCTCATTTTACCAAACTGTTTTTTACTTCTTTTCCTTCATGGCTGTAGAACTTACCTTTAAATCCGGAGACATTTCTGGATATATAAGTCAATCTCCTTCCTTCGCCCTTCAGCCAGAAATGTGCCTACCTAATAATTTTTATTTAGGAATTGTCATCTACTGTGATTGCAAAAAAACAAGCGTCCGACTGAATGCAATTAAATTCATACAACGGCTATACCCTGGTTGTGACGTAGATCGACGTTCACAAAATGTTTACCCTTGTGTGCCTTAGACGTGTAAGTGCGTCAAACCGCAATACAGTTATTAAAAGGGATTTTGTGCTTTAGTTCCTGTATCTTAGACTCTACTTCCTTTTGTATCCAAGGTGTCCTGAATGAATGTGCCTTTAGAGGTTATTTTGAATGTTTGTAGCATGGGAATAAGATATATAGACTCGTCCAGTCGGTTGCGCTTGCAAGAGAGGACACATCTTTATTTAGAATATTAAAAAGGAGTCTATAACTATATACCTGTAATTGTTTCTAACAAATTTACTTATTGTTTATATAATGCAGATCTTATAAAAAAAAATAATAATTAATAGACATTAAATTATTTTTTGGAATGCCTTCAAGGAGAGTCCGAATTGACATGGTAAGAATTAACAGGTCAACATGTAGGCTACATGCTAGTGGGTAGTTATAAATAAAACAGTGATATTTGCTTATAAATATTTTTATTTATGAATGTGACTTCTCATGGTTACACAATCATATTATACTTCGATTATTTTCATAAAATTAGAAATAGAAAAATAATATCAAAGAGCTATATTACTGGAACATTTGTGGATAAGTTTTCGTGTTTAAATATTTCTTGTCCTTCAGTCATATATACGTCTGAAGGTGGAAAAAGTTACTTGTTAGGACAAAAACATCGAAAATTTTACTTACTTCGGGACGATACAATTGCCATGTCAAATAAACATTCATCTATTATGTCATAATTTATTAAATGTAAAGTGATTTAAAATGATTGCAACACACAAATAAAAACGAAGTTCAAAAATAAAATAAGTAGTTAAGTCGTTCGGGTTTATTATGGGTTTTGTTTTATTATGTAACTGAGTAACTGTTTCACCTATGAACACAAGTCGTGGTTTGTTTGGACTCCACTGCGCAATATAAGCAAACCCAGTTACTGCGCCAAGGTAACCAAGTGACTGCGCTGTACACGTTGAGATGGTGTATTTTAGAAATTTAAGACCTCGTCAGATTGGCATCAGATTAAACAGTATCGCAAACTTAAAAATAAAAGTCGTTATATAATTTGCAAATTTTCTAGAGCAAACATAATCGCGTACAACAATTAATACGAAATTGCCATATACGACCCCCTTTTTTAGATAATATAGACACAAAAAACTGTCATTGGCGACGCAAGAGTGCTATCTTCTATCTCTTTCTAATAACATAAAAAAAGAGGCGTTAAGAAAGCTTCCCATTCAGTTTTGATAATACTGTTTACCAATGCCGAACGCGTGTACGTGTCAAAAGTAGTCAAGCTTAAAGGCGTATTAAATTTCGTAGCAAAATTATATGCGAGACGGTATCAGAGGAACTGAGCCGCAACAGATCCGGCTGAAACTGAACGGGAATGTGAAGCTGTTCTCTGGACTTGTCACGACCCACGGAAATCAAGATACATTGTAGAAAATAAATTGTCAACGTCACCCGACGCGTAGGCGCTTTTACACTATTCGATCGGTTTGAAAGTATCGCTAGAAAATAGGTAGTAAAAATGAAAGGTGTCAAGACAAATAAATCTATAAAAAAAATCAGATTTGAAGATTGTCGCATAGTGTATAAATGCCTAGTGTATATAATATATATAGTCTAAGCTCCCGTATGTCGAGTGTGTGTGTGAAAGCAGAGCTAGATCCGCTGTCTCGCTCGCACAGCTCACTGCACGCAGCAAGAGTTCTTGTGGCCGTTCTTCTTGAGGCGCGACTTGGGCCGGTACTTCTCGAGGTACGAGAGTTGCTTCGAGTTGATGGCGCCGCGGCGTTGGCTGCAGAGAAAACATTAGTTAGCTAATTTATTTGGGATTCTTCTCTCAATTTCTATCATGGTGGGATGATAGATTAGGACAGACACAATCACGGGGTTTACTTGATGAATGGTCAAATATTTTATTAAACATCTCAACGCGATGCGCTGTCGACCTACTTAAGTTTTGGATATTCGGATATCCATAGACTAAAATCAAAACGTATCCAGTTATCCAGACGATGGTGTTCGGACGGCAGTTCCTTATTTCTATCACCCAATTTCTAGACATACCACTACAAACAAGTCCACTATGTTTCAAATAGTCAAAAATGTATATGAAACACGTCGGAACCAGTGGGGATCGAACCATTTTTAGCCATATATATTACCCCGCCGAATTTGTACTTGTTAGGAATCGGTATGGGATACAATAACAAAATCGTAAATTCCGTATTTTCCCAATTCGCAACGTTTCTAAAAATATTCGAACTTAAATACACGTCTCGCAGTGTCATTTCACTTTGTTATGGTCATTTAAGTGATTTCACACCGTTAACGTAACATTAGCTGTGCACGTGTGGTTTTGTACATTGCAACTTCGTGGTACGCCGCGTCATTTCTGACGACTGTAAATCAAGTTACAACGCTATGTGAATCACGCGACAACATCTGCTTCAGCTGACGGCAAGCATTGATGTATAATAGTCTCTTCTCTAAAAACTTCCTAGAATTAACTTTTTCATTTGATGGGTAATTATTTTAAATTTATTTTGTATAGCTTATTAAGTATTTAGTAAGTTCCTGTACATTGTCTAGTTTACTTATTTTTATTTCTAGTCGGGTTGCTAGGAAGTGACCGCTTATAGCGAAAAGGCCGCGATAGTTGTAAAATTTAATTTTGTAAGCTAACAGTCCTGAGCTGTGCCACTACGGGCAAAGTGCTGATAGTGCGCGAAATCGACACCCGTGGAATCGGTATGAGGCGCTACTGTTGCAGTACCCATTTAGTATAAGACACTAATTAGAATAATTATGGAAGTCGAGATTTGAATATTTTTTAGACTAATATAAGTAATCGAGATGTTTGCTACCATAGGTGATGGCCAAAATAAACAATAGCTAAAAAAAGTATGTTTTGTTTTTCAAACGAACGAAAGGAAGAAAATATCTTATACTTACTCTCTGATAGTCTCGACCGCTTCTTCGTACTTCATGCCGAGCTCGATAAGTGCGATGGCGACCATGACTGGCGCACGACCGAGTCCTGCGACGCAGTGCACTGCCACTGCAGCGTCCGGTTTGTTCTGAGCCCTACAACAAGATTATTAAAATAGTTTTAAGCTGGGAAGAACAAAAAGGCGTTAGTTATTGTCTGTAGTATACTGTAGTAGATATCGGTGTGTGTGATATATATATATATAACTTATTCTTAATTTAATTTAACTACGGCCCAACATTACGGATACTTTCCAGAAGCCTTGACTCCCCAAAACCATAAAAGTCCTGGACTACGAACATTTTATATACATATAAAGTTATGGTACTGTATTTTTGCTACAAATTAGTTGGAAATAAAAATCCTTGGTCAAAAACAAAATATGGACTTTTAAAAGTTAAATATACGTAAATAAATATAATGTTTGCTTTGTATATATATTATGTTAATATAATAATACATTATCGGTGACTACGTGCCATTAGGATTATAGTAAATAATTGTTACTGTTTAACATAATATATAATTTCTACTACCTACTACGGCCAGTATTCAATTTTCTCAATATATTTACGTAATTCAATACTCATTGCACATCCGAGAATTATAAACTCGACAGAATGTTATATGTTAAATTGGCTGATTCACAGAACAATGTTGAGCCGAAATTGTTTTGCTAACCGAGTGTTGAAAGATATAGTCATGTATCGTGAATACAAATCCACCTGGGCAACGTTGAAAAGAATAAAAACAAACCATCGCATGACTTTCCATAACTCCATTTCGATCATTAGATTCGCTTCTACGAATTGAATAAATTGCGTACGAATACCAGAAAGTAATAATTTTCAGAATGAAATTGGTTGATTAGACGAGTATAAAATAGAACAGTAATAATTTTCATACAAAAATAGTACGTTTTAGGAAAAATAACTCTATCCCTATAGACACAAGTTCTCTTTTACGAAAAACACGACTAAGGTTAATCCAACATGGTTATTCCAACTGTAATTAATTTAACATTTATAAGCTATACTTTCTACATGATTATAAGATATATGTTACAATTACTCTCCAGTATATTAAATGTATTTTAAATTTTATGTACACTAAGAAATATACATATTACCAGACAGCCAGTATAAAGGTATTCGAACTTCGACTACACCAAGATTTCTCAATGCAAACACATTCAACCTCAATACATATACTATTTGGTTTTTTATATAGCTGTTAGCTATAAGGCATATGGGATTTTCAGCATTATTACGTAAATAGGAATAATCTTCTAAAGTTAACGAGATTTGGTTCAGTGATTATGCAGGTAGGTAAATGCATTTTCGCGGAGCTTGGTGCATCGCGGTCGTTTGCACTTTCAGCTAGCGAATAACAAAATATGAAAGTCAATGCATCGACCTAAATGTGGCATTTGACTTGGTCGACATTTTCTCTCGCCACGCATAAAAGGTTAGACACTAAAAAGAAAATGTTCGTTTTTCACGAAAAAAACATCTTTATCGAATTGCCTTAAAAGATAAACGTTTCTAGTTGCAGTATTTTTGTAAAAAATAATGTGTAATAATTTTTTCTCTGTAGTTAGCGACTGAAGTTTCGGATGCCTGTGACTGTCCCCCCCCATGACCATGATTGCTGCAAAGCATCCGAATCGTCGGGCCGTAATTTAAATAAATAGTTAATTTGCATCACATTCATACAATAATTCCGCGTTTTGAACGGTTAAGAGGTTTATTTAATAATAATACATAATAACTATATCTTATAAACTAGTTTTGATATTTGAATTAAGGAACGTGCAACAATTATAATACTCTTACGGTATTATAGGAACTTTTACGGTATTCATTTAGAACTATTTTTATACGTATATTCTGAATGTACATAATTCAATCTATGTACAAGGCTAAAAGCACTTACACACATTACTGTTCCTGTGCTGTTGCTGGATAGAAGTTGATATAGAATTTGTGGTGTTAATATACAAAGGAATATTATAATATACAAAGGAAATTTTAATATACAAAGGAGTCAAGAATCAATGTCTTCAGCCTAATTTTTATTTATAGTCGGTTTTCCAAAGTATATCAAATCTTGAGTTACTCACTTGTCTCTTAAGATCTCGAACCAGTCGTCGACCACGTTGGTTGGCGGGAAAGTGCCGTCGTCGTAAGCCAGGTCCCTAACCTCGATGCTCTCGGCTTTGAGCGGCGCGGTGTCATAGCTGGGCTCGCAGACGCGAACCACAGTGCAAACATTGTGCTTCCTCAACTCCTGGAAATGGGAAAGGGTTTTTCATATTGTTACTTATTAAGTATTAGTACATTTTATTTGTAGCCGGAGTAATTAGTGTTTTCCTGACTTTATTATATCTGGTTTACTTTTAAAAACTTAAATGTTTTTTATTCTATATTATATGTTATTTCACATGTTGGCAATATATAATTATTATATCTTTTTAAATCATAACCAAGACTGACTCGGTAGCTCAATCGGGTAAGGCAGCAGCACGGAACGCTGTGGATGTCGTCTTCTCTGAACATGCTGCTACGCTCGAATCGCAATGTTTAAGTACTCACGTGCATGGTTTACAAATTTGATTAGGTAAATTACTTTAATTATTGAGTCGTATTTAAAGAACAATCTTAGCATGGTACAAACTTGTTATAACTTTAATGTTACCCGTATTATTTATTAATAATTATTGTAAATCTTCATTTTCAAGGTTTCCCAGAAGAAATCGCTTTTTAGGGATAAGGCTGCCGATTTTCGAATTCTTTTTTGGAATTTCTTCAAATTAAATGTTATTTTGTAATATTCTCGTGGTGAAAGTAAAATATTTATTTGTTCTGTTTGTTAGTTTTTGTCAGCACTGGCTTTTGACTATTTAAACTGTATATCTGTTACCTAGGTCACCTAGACATTCAACGCATGCACCATTATTTAGCTCTTTCGAATCGTGTGCCACGACTCTACAACGCCTTTGTCGTGAAGTGATATTTTACACGTCGATATGCTTTGGTTACGATAAGAATGCCTGACAATAATATTGTATTGCGTCATCTGTGACTATGGCTTGTATTGCGCATATAAAATTGTATACGTAATATTATTGTATGCGCTTGCGCTTTTTTATTTACTAAGTTAGTCGAAAACAATTCTGAGTTTTTTTTTATGACAGAGAGCAGACAAGCATTGGGGTCACTCGATGGAATAATTTTATACCCCAGACATAGTAAAGAGGATGTCGACTTATTTTGGACTAAAACCGAAACGTGAATTTACATTACGTCTTTTGCATCTGTGGACTTAGACACTTTTCATTTAATGTCCAAATTTTTAGACGAAGAACACGTTTTAGAAACATTATACATAAAAAAAAAACATTATTAGCCATTACCTTATTTAATAATAGCAAGGCATTGGGATTAAATGTCCCAGCCTAAGAAATATTAACACAAGTTTTACCTGACTTTTCAATGTTCTTTTAAAATTGATTTACCTGCCTTTACACCTTTTCTTTGATATAACATAGAGGTCCTATTATCCTAGACAGTTTGAAAATACAATAGCAGAGGGATTTAGAGAATTGCTGGCCATTGTAAGTGGACAATGGACCTCTTCCACTCTTATCGGCAGGTGCAGGTAAACAATGCACAACAGTATGAAATGTACCCATTTAAATTATATGTTTTTATGACTTTCAAACTATTACTGTAAAATGTAATGCCTTTTATAGGTTAATTCTATTTTGGGACGATTATCGCCTTACTGAGACGGACTAAGGAAGGTAATATAAAATGTATATTTGAAGAAACCCACAGTTTTATACCACATCATTTTGTTTCTTATCTTGGGTAATAACGGCAAATAAGAAGGCATATTGTAATAACAAATGATATGTTAAGGATTTTATCAGATATGAGATCTCAAAAGGAGATCTATATAATCGCCGTGAAACACAAAGATCATCTGTATTTTTTTAAATTCAAATTTAGAATGACGATAAATTAAAGTGGAATGGCAAAACCAGAAAATGACATTGTTATGCTTAGATAATTCTGGTACGAGTGTTATAAAAATACGAGGAAAATAATGATTCTTGTCCTTATTACGATAAGTCCGATTTAAAATTTTGTTTCATAAATTAAACAACATATACAGAATGTGTAAAGACCTTGCCACGATTCGTTATTCTCCTACTTCCTAATGTGCTTGTGCCTTTGTTTTGGTAGCAATAGTTTTACCCACCTGCAAATAAGACTGGATGGTGACGTCAGATGGTCGGTCCGTGATGAGGAAGCGCATGCTCTTGTACTCGATGAGCGACGGCGCCGGCCTGATGTCCTTCTGCTTCATGATGACTTCCCTCGAATTCCTCCCAAGATACTCAAGCTGCCTCTCACTCGGATGTTTCGATCACGTCAACCGCGTCACAACGCCGTAGCGATCCGTCAAAGTCTAACAGGCAAATTGTCACTCTATTTCCACACAACACACTTCAGTTTCGTGACTTTTTTTTAGAAAGGGTCCAATTATATAATGAGGACCACCCACATGGAGGTCGCTTTCAAACACTTGAGCGCATCCGAATACCAAAAGACGGTGCTTCGGAATCGGGTGACCAACTTAAAGGGGGGTTATGCGAACATAAGCAGCTTGCCGGTGAAGTGCAGCAACTTAATGATATGCTTCAATTGGAAGGGTCCGAATCTAAGGTGACTGAAACGAGAAATATAATTTTTAATATTATCGCCGCGGAACATTAGGGAATGCGTCAAACGGGACGAGCGGGATAAAAAGCGGGTTCACCAAAATAGACATGAAAAGTTTCGGTCATGTGAGTGTAAGCGGCACTCGCGGTATTCGGAGAGACTGCCAATAGACCGTCGTCGGGCATTGGCTGCCGCTCGCCGTATGTGCGCGACCAGTGATAACATGATAGTAAACACAACGCAATAATCGTTTAATTGTGTACACAGATATACACCTCTCGAATGAATCCACATCCAAGGTTATCATAACGAAAGGTGGACTCTGCTAATCTGACATTGAACTTGCACAAGCGCCGCGAGTAAGGCTGATATTTTCTGAAGTATAGAATAATCCAATGCTAAGATAAGTCTGTTGGTATAGTAGCAAAACGCTATGAATATTTTATTTTTATCTGTATCTCTGGTATATAACGAGGATAAGCTAAGTCCTAAGTGGATAGACTCACCTGTGGGTGGGTAATTATCGCGTGATGCTTAGGTGCGTTGACGCGCGCTCCCGACACCATGGGTCCAGTAGAACACCCCGCTACCTTGCCTCCGCGAAACGCCCTCGGGTTTATTTGTGTTGGGCCTGGCAGTACTCCGCGCTGTCCAAGCGGAACTCCATCAATGTCGCCACAGAACGAATGCCCAGCTGCAACAATATAAACACAGAATGACGCACTATTCACTCGGCGTTTAATGAAGCTCGCTAATTATAGAGAGCGTTACCTCAATTTGTCACTTATTTAAGCAATACTCATTGTGTAAATGTTTGTGTGGTGTTATACCTGTTTATTTCGATTAAAATGTTTTATCACATCGTCGCGATAACGCGTCGTGTCAAAGAAAATCATTTAGGTCAGGTCTATACGCAGATTGTGGCACAACTACAGTTGGCAAAAACAAATCCATTGTACCATTATTTATGTCCATTCCCCCGTCCATTAGATGTTTAATGAACCGCGCCATTTCTAGAGCGAAAAATTATTGTGTTCGGCCAATTAAATGAGATGCAAGAATGTTGGCAACACAATGACGTTATTACTAAAACAGTCTAAATTCACCCGAAGACAGCAAACCAAATATTTTGATGTATTTATTATTTTGCAGGTTTCATTCAAGGAGAAACGCTACGTCTCTCGAATTGGGATGTAGCCAAGACTGGAGTTCGGTTTAGAACGAAATTATAATTATTGAATTGCGCGTTTGTTAAAGCCAAGAAGACTATTCTTAAAACAAGACTCGACATGAAACATTCGTAAAAGACAATTACGAAATCTTCTACGAGAATGATCCTATTATAGTTTCATTTAATTATGGTCTGACATATATTACGTACATCAAATACTCCATGAACCCCTTCGCAGACGAGACGGTCGATAAACTCCGTCCAGGCTTCCTGAACACACGCTCAACAATGCAGACGTTTTCAATTTAGCATTTCAGTGGTCTCGGAGTGTCTAGCCGTTTTAATATACAAATTATACACTCTTTAATGGCTCTAGGGTGAGTTTGGAGCAAACGAACGCGAGGAGTGTGAATTTCAGAAATCTAAGAGAGGTTTGTTACTTAGCTCAGTAATTCGGCAACGTCTGATATTAAGATATTTTTATACTTTGATGGGCTCGTTGGTATAATGGTAGCAAAGCACCGGGTTCAACATTGTTCTAATGAAATCTGGATATTCAATGGATAGCAATCGGGTAAGTATCGGAAACCCGTCTGGGTCACGAACCATCGCCCACAGATGAAAAAGCCATGGAGCTTTATCGCGTTTCGGTGTCAGTGTGGATTTTCGAATATCCAGAGCCAAACAGCATGATTTATTTAGATCTTATATGCCGGGGGTAATTCACCATACATACAATGAACTCGATGTTTGTCTGTCCTTCTCTATAAAAAAAAATCACGTCTATGCATTTTGTACAGGAAGGACGAGTCCTAAGTTCGAACCTCAGTAAGGATGGACAGCATGAATATAATATAAACATTATTCAACAATGTCATAACAGTCGCAGCGGATGTCTATCAATAGCGTTGGCAAGGTATATTCTGTGAAATTTAATAGATCACTCGTGTCTCGTATTGCTAGTATAGACACGTGGCAAACAGGAGGCTAACCACAAAGGACATGCGAACCGCAAGATCAACTGTTACCATACCGAGATACTGTTTCGAATTAACTATATAACTTTAAACTATATAGATCTGACATTTAATACAAACAGACAAACAGTTTATTAAAATAGACTTGCATTTTAGCTTTGGTATATTTGTTATACTTCTGACTGAGGAACTATTTAAATAAGTCGAAATATAAAATATGTAATTTATTAAGATTTAAGAATATAATTTTAGGGTTGCTACTCCATAGATAAAGCTAATCACAGATAACACCGCGATACCGGAAACGTTCAGCTGTCGAGGTCGCCTAATACCGTCACTATTAAATTAATCTTCTCTGTAGCATAATTCTCAGAAATCACTAATGGATTATTATTATTTGAGACACTTACACTCTTATTAAAAAACAGGAACTAACTCTGGAATCTGGCTTAAACCCCAGTTTATTTGAAATCCTTATTACAAAACGAAGTTTACATTACATTTAGACAATGTTTTAAAAGTTAAACCAAGACTCCGCAGTTCTCGTTTAAGTTTTTTTTTTGTAATAAGGCCGTTAAAGATTTTCTGTGATTTAATAAAAGTCTATAGTAAAATTGTCAATAGCTACTCTATAAAGGATAACATTTCTGAGAATATTGTCGCAGAAAAATACACAGCAGGTGTTTATGAAATCGTAGCTTATCTCGAGGGATTAAACAGAGTACTTCGATAGTTTTCTATTAAGTCACGTAAGTGAGATAACGTGAACATTTAAAGCAACACCCAAAGCTGTAATAGATTTGCGGCCTGAAATATTAATATTATTTGTTTATTTAGTGTCGTTTTGCAAGGCCAGATGTCTTCATTTTTAATCATATCAAATCAAATTTATTATTATATTAGTATGACAGAATCTAATTTTGTTTTTTTCTATTTGTTCTTATAGTGGTAACATTATATTACATGATTCGTGAAATTTTCAACTCACTAGATATTGCGTTTCTACTACCTATTTGATGACAGACAGACAAACAACAATCCGAACAAGTTTTTTAAGACATACAAGTTTGTCACTCCATTTATCCTTTGGGCACGGAATCAAAAAAAAGAATAAAAATCCTAAAACTGTCAAATTGTAAATTTGGAATAGATCATGGTTCAGTGATAATAGACAAGTATTATTTCTTTTAACTTGTATCTATCCATAACGATAGGACTACACACAGATATTTGCAATTTGTAAAAACGGCTTAGTTACAATAGATAAACCGCGTCATATTATACGTATTTAACTGCGAGATAATCCAGACGGTTTAACGACGCGGAGAATTTCTATTCTGTTTTAATTACACGTCGTAATACAACTATTGTTTATCGTTAGTGGCTTGCAAGTTTTACTGCTGCAACATTTCGCATATTAATTTGTACTGGGTTATTGTTTACGACTACTACGTACCTACTCATTCAGGTTATTATCTATGTTATTTAAATATTTATGTAAAACTAAGCACTTTGTCCAAATATAATCATATAAGTATTGTTGTTTTCAACATATTTGTGGTTTAAGACGTAATTTCTATTAAAGGCATATTTGTAACAATTTAATAGTGACATAGGACACATTTACCGGTTTAAAACGCGAAAAATAGTACTTAAATTTTTACGATTTATTTTAACTACCGTCGGACATTTCGGATACTTTGCAGCAGCCGTGGTCACGGGTAGAGTGGGAAGACACCGAACAGGTAACTATAATTTATCATTAATTTTAAACACTGTATATTTTAAGAACACTAGAGATAATTATACTATGTATCTTGCTTACAGTGTACATTATGTGGTAAGTTAAGAGATTAGTGTCGAAGTTTTGTTACAAAAATCCGCAACAACGATGTATTCTAATGTAGACAGCTTATACTTTTATCTTTTCTCTCATGTACGTATCTCCTCTACAAAGAATGGCCGTTGACAGTTATTGAATGACCCTGAGTATATATTTGGCAGAGACACTCAGATAAGACGTCCTTCAACAAAACATTGTATTTACCTATCAAAACGAACTAACCTTCCATTCTAATATGTAACAGACTAAACTAAATCTTTCCTCAATAACGGTTAATAAGTTGGCCGTGAGTCTATATAGAGCAATTTAATTAATGCTGTCATCCAATTTTGTTTAACGCGTTACGTTTATTTGAAAACCGTTCAACGTTATTATCCAAACAAATTCAAACTACATTCACAATAAGACGTATCTGTTTGAATTACCTTTAAATTTAAGACAAGAGACAATCGAAATTAACACATAAAAACGTTGGTTTAGTGAGTCATCATTGTTTAAACCGAAGTATGATGTACGACTGAGATAATTAATGTAGAACAACGACTCGTTTATCAGAAGGCATGACATGCTCGAGCACCTGTTGCTCTCATAGAGGAAACGAAACTGGTGAGCGTAAAAAATGGCGCGGGTGTATCTAGCCGACGGTGCAAAACATTTACCTGACTCTCGCACATCGAGACCATCCAAAAGAGAAACTAAGCTCCCGTATTCGCACGCACGCACACCACGAGAATTCAAAACGTGTCAGTAAAGCGAGGCACCGAGGTTAATGATGGCATAGAAACTTACATGTATCCGACGCGGTTACAACGGTTGTTAGAACTGAAAAAAGTTGTTGAAAATAAACGAAACGACAATTCGCACGCAACAGAGGCTGTCGTATTAGACAGTGAAAAGGTTTAGGCGTTCACATCGCAACGGGTCGTCACGGTCCGTGCCGCGATCGAGCAGAGCAGAGACTGGCGATGGTGCCGCGGCGCGCCCTCGCCCCGACCGCCGTGCCTACGTCACGAGCGGCGGCGGCCATCGCGTCATCTCCAACATTCTGCCCTACACCGACACAGACGCACACAAGTCCAATTAAACTTCGGCAAAACTTCACAATTCGAGCTGCATGCGTAACTTAAACCAAACAGTAATTAGAAACAGATATCGAGAAGTCTCAGACTAAACATCGCAAAAGCCCATTGTATCTCCTGGTCGTTCGGCGAGACAGAATGATCTATTAGCGTGAAAATAACTCAAAACGCAAAGTATTCAGGTCCACTCCTACGCAGTTGCACCAAATAAAGCGAGCTTTTTATAGATGATAGATAGAAAGCGCGTGGCGAATGAGACGCGTATAACAGATTTAATATTGTTTACATCGGGAAATTACGAGTATACCTCAAGTGTATACAAATATAAACACTAAAACAAGAAATCAGAACTGAACTTCTCGCGTATAACAAAAGAAAGACAAAATTGTTTAGCATCTGTTTAGAATAAGTTTTTTTGCATAAAATGAAAAGTGTTCTTGTGAAAAGGATTAAATTGCTTATTCAGACCACGAGTGGGCGTTCCAATCCTGTCGCTAGTCTACCATCTAGATGTAGGCGTACTCTCCTACGCTGTACCACACTCGTTGCACTTAAATGCCAGCAGATATAGGTTATAACGCAATGTGCTTGTCCTCCTACTAGTTATGTCCGCCCACTTGAAATAAAGGACAAATGGTCATGGTTTACCCGTTTTAGATCTTATATTTGAACGCGCTTGAAATTGTGTTTTTTCCTTTTAGTCTCATGCATGCGAGTAGTGTGTGACATGTAATATTTTAATAGCAGCAATTTGCATGAAGTGCTCTGTCCGTCACGTTGTTTACAATGGTTTGTTATTGACGTGAAAATGAATCATGACACATATTGTGCAATGTCGCTTCTCCGAAATCCAATAGACTTCAGAGCTACTAATTAAATGTGAACACGGATTAAAATAACATAACGAGAAACGTGTTCAATTCCTTAACAAAACTGGTAACTTATTACACATTAGGATAAAATGCAAGTTAAATTATTACGCATCTACAAATTGCTGTGGCCTAACTTTTGAACATTTCTGTGACCCAAGTCGGTGATAAATTTATTTACTTATTCGCATGGAAAAACACAATACAAATAAGTATTACAAGATGGTCGATACAGAACAATATTAGATTATAATTATAAAAACGTAGATATATTATGATATTAACTTAAATACAATAAATGAATAAATGAATGTTATAAGTTGCAATGGTAAAATTAATTTATGCCACCGAGCATTACACATTCTAAAACATTATCGCTACGTCGATGGTGGTCTAGGTACTCGTATTGCTGGTGGTCCGGCCATAAGTTTAAAATGACATCATTATATGACATTTATATCTTCGTAATAAGAGCATGCTCTCCAACACGATCCACCGTGTCAGCAGGAATACTGAATGACCTATGTCAATAATGAAGGTTGTCGCATGCAAAATGTATTTTTAGCGCCGCCGATGCCCTTCAAATGATTTTCTGAATACTGAAACTCAAATTGATCCGGTTGTTTTATCTGGAGTGAAAAAAAAGCGTGATATGAAGATAAAACTATATAAAGAGGTCTAAAACTACAATCTTATCGATAGATTTAGACGTGTCAACTGCCTTCAATAATCTTGAATGTAATAAACATGAAAAACTTTGTCTCATGTGTATCGTGTACTTGAATTATAACAGATACGCCTTTCAACCAATTGTCCATTCTTGTCCAACATTGTAGCTGTTAGAAACCAGTATAAATCTTGCGTAAGAATAATTTTCCCTATATCTGGATCGAAAGTCCACAAGCCACGTGACCACATCGCGAGGCAAGCAAAATCAAACGTGTTTTCCCTCGCACAAACAATTTCAGACTATTGTTAACCACCATCATTGCTCCCACGACAAACGTGCCTTGCTACTTCGGTAATGTTTGTTAAAACTTATTCAAGTTTAATCGTACGTTGGTGTTGTTTATTATTAAATTAATACTTTAAAAGTAGGTACACACAAACATTAAAAGTGAAGCTGTAAACGTGGACTAAATTGCATTAGAAAACTTCTAGAAAATGCAGAATAAACTACAATTGGGATTGATTGTAAATATCGAAAGTTCGTTTTTAACACTTCAAATATGCAAGGTCAATAATGAAAGTATAGTGTCTGCTTATAATGTCCTACAATGATTGTTACCTAAAGCTCGTAAATGTCAATCCAATAATATAAGCAAAATACTATGTAGAATAATAAATTGTGAATAAAAATGTAAGCATACGACAAAAATTTTCAAGAAACTTCTATATAGATAGTAAAAAACGGAACTATATTAAACACATTATCGCAACTGATAAGCATAATCTTGAACATGAAATGATAAATAATAAAATGAATACGCTAATAAACCTACATTCGGCATTCTAAAGATTAGCAAATCAGATTCATTTATTAAATTTCGATACTGGAAACCTATATATCAAAGTTCAAGCAATTGATAATAATTCCTTGGATGAAAGAACTTGTATAATGTAACTTTCACAACACCAGTGACCAATCACTTAGCAATATTTCTGTTAAACTGGAGCTGTCTGAAAGTTTAGATAGGTAGATTGAAATTTGAAATGTCCAACGTTTAAAGTTAGTTTACCGATAAACATACAAAGCAAAAGCCCATTGTTGGAAAGCGATTCATCACGTTATTTCGTACCAGTTCGAGTAAACGTGAAACTTTCGTGACACTACGTATCTGGTACTTACTGTCTTCCATAAATTCTTGGTAATAACAATCAATTAGATTAATAAACGTCAGGGAAATCGTAAACTCTAGCATTTACAGCCCAAGCTCCTGTTAGTATTGAAACCAGAAGCCGATATTGAGGGGAACAGATATGTGGTTCTTTAGGTTCGAAGGGGATCGTGTCAAGTCCCAGGTGTATCTAATTTAGTCTGTCTGAGGTCGTTGCAGCCCTACCCGCTTGTATTGCAACGGGAAACGGGTCGCGACCCACTTCGTCAGGATCAATACTCGGTCATCGACTCCGCTTGCGCCTCGTACGGTCTCCCGAGTTAGCCACATCAAAGGGATATACAATTCGTACCGTCTCCGTGATTCTAAAAATAGCTTAAAGGCCTCGCAATGTCAGAGACGTCACAGAAAAGTACTGTGAACGAAATATGGCGGCGCACAGATTAATACGTTTCACGAGCGGAGAACTCTATATTTATTTCTTGAAACATGTAACAATAAAGGTACTGTAGATATCACTACAATTCACTTTTATTATACATATATCAATAAAACATTGATTGCTGAAAAACTGATTCGTGTCATTAAATTTTTATCAACCGACAATTATGACAGCAATAAAGATGAATGTGACACAATTGAAACAAGTGACCAATTTAAGGAAACGTGACCTAAGGGAAATGTAGAAAATATTATTGAATCAAGCGTGGTGGTAGTAAGCTTGTCAGAAGACTTATAATATTTACCATCCTCAAAATGAATAGCAGTTAATCATCAATGCAACTATCCTTCCTAGTTGTGTTTTATTAAATTACATTACCATTCATTCTATGAGCAATGTTATTTACGTTGAAAAACCGACAGTAAAAAGTAAAAACCCCTATCATTCATTAAAATTTTACAGATGACACAACTATAGTTACGTCTGAAACGATTGTCTTATATGAATTCAAATGTACCAATTGTTAAGAAGTGGGGAAGAAATTAATAAAGAGCAAACGTGCGACATAATCGTAGACAAGTTGTCATCTTGGAATAAAGATACGTATTAATTTTGTCGTAAAATATGTAACTGATACATTATCTGATGATCGATTGATCCAATATTATTCTTTTATCTTATGTACTCCCAGATAGTAGTCGACACTTATACACTTCACATAACGCCCATCCTTCTCCGATCGAAATTACAGAAACCAGGAAAATTTGATTCCTTTCCGAAAACAAATACATTCTCTTTTGCTGCGTAGTTTATTTATTTCACAAAAACATCGTATTGAATCTTAATACTAACGTATTTGATGACAACATATTGTGTTTTATTAACTGTCAGTTCACAACCATAAAGATATTTAACCCAAAACACTGCAAATATGAAATCTTCATTTAAAACTTATTAATTATTGTTATGTTGTTAATATATCACCTTTACGTGCTATAAAAAGACTATCATGCATTAAATCGATATCATTAATGGCAACACAGGTATCGGCCGTGCCGTCAGTCTGACCTGGCTTAGTGACCTGGATTGCCAAGCATAGCTGACCCTTTTACCAGGAGTACCATACAGATTCACTAATTACATTCCTCATTATCAAGCATCATTATCTTTTATCCTTGTGAGCGTCTTTAACTAGCATTGTCAGGGGAAGTAACCTTCCTTTCGGCCCTGAATATGAGCTAGACATGTTTACAGCTAGATGCTTCCAAGTTATTATGTTGCAATATTTGTATATTTACATAGTTTGATAGTATTTAATCATCTAAAATTGTGACTTCAGTAGACAGATATACAAAGACAAATTCCGTTTTGTAGTACCGTATTGGCATTTTGAAGTTACAGTTACGCATTAGCATTTTTCGTGTTTAATTAAATTAACATATATTCATATATTGTATATTGCATTTTAAGAACTTCAGATTTTTAGATCTGTAATAACCACATTTAATAGTGTCTAAATCGACATTAGAGTTATTGCTATGCCATATTTTCATTGTAAGCTCTTATTTAGAGCGATTTTTTTGGACTTTGATTCCGCCAGCCGTATGCACAAGTACAGTAGATAGGTACTACTCAATGCTATTTATTACACAAATAGTTACCTGTTCAGGCGTAGCTAAATTATATATTGAATAAAGACCGCGACAGATTAGAAATCCATCAATCATATGAGCGTCTTTGTAAGAAAGGACGCAGAGAGCGTCGCCCTTTGGAATCGAAAGCCCGCCACTAAATGCTCCGAGCAACGACCCTAGGAGCCCTTGCAGAATAACCGGTGGTTTTATACGAACCCACCCGACCGGCTCTCCCTCTGTCTGTCCAATGAACGCCCTTTATAGCCTCCAAGGAGGGCACGAATATTCCTAACCTCGTCGTTTTCTAATAAAACTTAGGAATGTCGGGGTAGGTAGAGCTTTTTTATGTGCGGCGGGACGGCAGGAAGTGAGGACGGGTTCTCGGACCGAAAACGCATTGGCTTCTAAAAAAAATCTTTCATCGCTAGTCAGTATGGTACCACATTGACAATATTCGTTATTAATGTACGTATGTTGTATTTCTCAATTATTCTCATAGGTTACTCTCTATCTATCTCTATATAATCTATGTTATAAAGTACAATTTTACGATAGATTTTAATTTAATATTTACATAAGAAAGTTTAATTTTATAGAAGTTAATTTTAAGAAAAATTTTCAAACTGATAGGCCTAGAAATATCTTTTTATGATAGAGGAGGACATACAAGTATTGGGTTCACATCGTGGTAGATGAAATACCCCAGCCATATAACATCTACACCAAAAGCGCTGTCGACCTATTTTGGCTTTGGATATTCGGAAGTCCACAGACTGAAACCGAAACGCGATTAAACTCCACGGCTTTTTTCATCTAAAGACGGTAGTCGTGGCCTGGATTAAACTAGAAACATCTTGGACCTAGTGGGGATCGAGCCCACAAACTATTAATAATTAGCCAAATATTGCTACCATTAGACCAAGAAGGCCGTATACCACACAGTATGTCACACATACTTCGATCTGCTTCGATCGCTTGACTACAAATTGTGATATTAATTCGGCGTGCGATGACGCCATCGGGAGCGCCATACCCATCATTCACTCGTTCAGTGGCAGAACTAATCTAATTGAAATGGCGACGCTAACTAATTCTAATTGTTAAAATGATGCCGTATTTAGTGAACGACGTATTGAGACGTCTGGTTTAATATGTACTTAGGAAATGGTTCGTACCTGAAACGCGACATTTACTATTTATGTTTAAGGAATGTCTGTCATAATTGGTGCCAAATTGTAAAAATTACCTAAAACTAAAAATAATTGTTGTACGTGTACTTTTGTTTTATCCGATAAACTAATGACCGCTATAGGCTTACCCGAACGAAATATGTATTCCCGGAATTCCAAACTACTATCCATCATAAAAGGGTAAGTTTGATACAACGAATTGATGATACAAGTAATAAGTGACCCATGTATATATTGCTTAAGTTTTTATCATCCTTATTCTACTAATTAATTTACCAGTAAATGTAATGAAATGACTTTTTTTTGTTGCGAGAATATTCGGTGAGCTAATTTGTAAGGATTCGGGAGAGATCGCCGTGTGCCTATATCCGGACTAACGGACTACAGTCAGCGTCTGCGCAGGGTCAATATACGCTCGCCAAGGCCGGTTCAACGCCCCTCCTATCCCAAGGAGTTCATAGTCAACGTAATCGAATCTATAAATGGTAAAAATCTAGTCATAAAAACAGTGTTAAAATTTGTGGTAGACCATTGTGAGTACCAGAAAAGCCATGAAAACTTAATATAACATAAGTTTAATTAGCGTAATTCTCTTCTATCAATCTTCTATTTCAGAGCGAAGAATGCTGATAAGGTTGTTATGCAACGGTGACGCAAACTTCGATATGCATTTGACGGACTTTACGACGAAACTGGACGTTCTCATTTACGCATTGAATGACGTCAATGAGGAATTAATTTTGCTTTGAAGCTAATAATTGGTGGGAGCAATTTCAATCCTGGCCAATAATAAATTACAATGGAATCTTTGAAATTCTTGATCAAATAATTTCCCCTCTTCACAGAAAATCTGGCTTGCATATGAATATAATGATCAATTCACACTATATAATACTTGTTAATAAAATGAATAATTTGAGCTTATTTCTTAAAGTTGGTATGTTCAAGGGAACTTACCTAGTTTAATAGAGCTAAGATACTACATCTATTTTCTATTCTACTAAGACCATCACTTATAATTCAATGGAAAATGATGAAACCATCAAGTGATAGGATATAAAAGAATTTTTTTTTTATGATTAATCAGTTCTAACATTTAAACAATTTAAAATAGAATGCAAAAGGTCAGTAACGAAATCTTAACAATAACCATAATTTATACACAGTATATTAACATAATAACTGTGATTTTATAAAAATGTTAAGCAAATTATGCTTTAAGAATAATTAAGCACACTACCCACATTATAAAACTATTTATATTATGCAAACTAAATAACAATACATGATGAATCATCTGTACTATAATTTCACAACATGTTTTCATGAAAAGAACATTTAAGTCTTTCTTGAAATGCTCTAGAATTATCAATAGGGAAATGTATATATAATTTAAAGCACTACAATGTCAATATGTGAAGATTCTAAAAATATTCCTGCAGGCAACGAAACGCTAGGCTGAAGTTAGCAACATTGTCAGTGGCTGTCAGCCATGAGCCACCTAGTATCCTGAGACCATTCCAATTTTATCGATTGGTACATTTCTCGCGCGTCGAGTGTATTTCACGTATAGTTGTGTATCAAGACAGATAATTTAATGAGTTATAACACATAGACACTGAAGGAAAACTACGACAATTATTATTGTTACACGACTGGGTTCGTGACGTCCATAAGAGGGCACAACCACTCGTGCTTGACCTTTAGGCGAGCTATATTTTAAAAATGAGCGTGTATTGGTTTCGACTGATTCGTTTAAAAATACAATATTCACTTACCTCCACAGCCATACACATTGAATAAGAATTGAACGGATTCAGCCGCGAACAGCTAAATATTTTACACACGCGGAAAACGTGTGCCTTGCACAAAAAAATTAACTGAACTGACATATAGAGTTGCCCTTTGCTAGTCGTTGCAATATTTTTTTTCTGACTTGTTATTATTATCTATGGTCACTAATACTATCTATAATCCATTTATTCTTACTAGACATTTTTGGTAAACAAACATGATGTTCATGAAATCGTGATTGATTCACACTAAAAACACTTTGATACACTGGATTATATATGAAACTAAAAAACTTTCTCAAATTCACTTAGTAAAAACCACAATTTCATGTTAAAATTAATAAAAATCCCAAAAATGAGTTTACTAAAATGCACAGATTAAAATTTCTTAAGTATGACTTTTACGTAAGGACGCGACGTAAGCAAAGTCAACGACAATAGAAACAAGAAATCGAACTCGCATTAAATTGTATCTTTTATTAATAATAAAAATAAAAGTAAAAAGGTTTTATTAGTTTTTTATTGTGACATAATACAACAATGAATTAAGTACAGAGCTAAATTACTTTCGTGACTATCATTACTTGATTCCTCGGAAACGTGGATAATAAATTTAAGGTCGTTGGATGCTGCATCCCATCTAATTTCATTTTCTTCTTGAATTACATAGTTTATTGTTTTTTGCCAAGTGTCCGCGTGAATTCGTTTCATGTCTTCTTTTATTTGTTCTTTAATTTCCGCAATTTTGAAACTTTTATTAAGTCAAAAATCCATACAAGGAAATAGATGAATGCTTTTTGTTTTAAAAAAGTGGCAACAAATATCCATTTCGTATGACATTTAAAAAAAGCTACGAAACGAATGATTTGCATGAAATTTTGCAATTATATTTACCAATGTATATATTAGTAAAGTTTTGTTAAAATCTATTCCATTCCACGTTTTTATGTATCTCTCTAGTTAGAAACGTTTGTATTTATAATATTAATTGGACTTATGGGTTAATAGGGGAAGAATAAAAAACTACATCGTTTTAAAATAATTTTTAATATTGAGATCATCCTTGTATAATTATATAATCGATGATTCTTTTCCCTGTGTCACCAACTACACTCCATAAAAGGCTTCACTAGTTCTCTCTGGTTTGAAATCGGCCATATTTGTTATGGTCTTTTGCCAAGTACAATAAAACTGACTATAATCCAAAAAAAGAAGAGACCAGACATTTTTATTTTTTAATCAGAACGTGTGAAAAACAACAGATAAATAATCAAATTTTCTCTTAAAACATCCAATGATTTAATTATATACAAATTAATAACAATAATTAAGCAAGTATAAACTAATTACTAACTTGAAACTATATAACAGTTTAGCATCAAATGAAATTTAAAAATATCAAATTACGTTTCTAGTTTAATCTGTAGACTTCTCAATGCCCAAGAATGGACCGACAATGCAGGTTATTTAGGCTCGTAGTAAATATGTTCAAGTCATCAGTCTCCTATGTCATAAAAATTCACGTTGTGACGCATAGATGAAAATAAGATTTGAAAATCTAAATTAATATATGTCATCGTCATTTAAAATACATAAACCCAAAACAACTTTATTTTATTTCATATTTTTTAAATACAATTTGTTCAACCATGTTTAACGAAACTGCTACAAAAACATATTGTCGTTGAAGTCAGGTGGTGGAAAGTGGTCTGCATCAGGAGGAGGTGGTCTTCGTCCAGGACGGGGTCCAACTCCAGGCGGTCCGAAGGGATCGAATCGCGCACCAGGGGGAACAGATCCTCTAGAAATTGAAATACATTAGAATTAATAAAACTCCACCCAAGAAACTTAAAAATGGTATCAGCCAAAGTTATTAAGATGGAGGATTCCCCTAACTATCAGATAAAAATAACGCAAATATTACCTAGGCAAACCACCGGGAATCCCAAGTCCTGGATTTTCAATATCTCTGCGTGGTCCGAAAGGGTTAAAAATCATTCCACCACCACCAGGTGCAAATGGATCCAAATCAGAACGTCCAATATTTGGTAAATTTGCTGGTGGCAACTCCCTAAAATATACAAAAAAATATCTGTCATTTTGCATGTCTTGCAGTCTTCATGCAGTAGGATTTTGGAGGAAAATTATTTTAGATTTAGTTTTTTTACACATATACCTAGTTGTACTTAATAGACTTTTTAGTGAAATTATTTCAATAAATTGAAATATAGTGGAGTTCTGCCTAATGTTTGTTTTCTTCTTTGGATAAAATAGTTTACCAACCATTCATGCACCATACATACCATAGATCTGGAGTATTGGGTGTTGCACCCGGGAGCGGTCTGGGAGGCACTCTCAGAGGGTCATCACTTTGTCTTCTGTTGCTGGAACCATCTAGAAACAAGGAAAATTGTATTATTTTTTGATACCCAATGTCATCTTAAATGTAATGCATGCTAGACGCATTACTATAAATCATACACTAGCAACTAATCGATTTTTATGCACAGAATATAACTATAATTATATTCCTTGTATAGGTAAAATTACAAGTAGGTATTATTATTATCATTTTCTTATGGGAACACAGGTAGAAGGCCGGGTGATCAGTCCACAATAGCTGTTGATCATTTAGTGCACAATAGCTGTTCACTGTTTCCCCTTTTTACCTTATTGGAAAAATTACAGGTAACTTTGACACAAAAATGTGTTAGACTCAGTCTTACTAAGTTATCTATGAAAGATAAAGTTTTATGTGCAATTTTGTCATACCTCCGGTTTGTGTGTGTGCTGATGTTGTAGGCCTATCTGTAAGTGTGTCTATTAAGTCTCTCTTGATGTTGTACATAAGGTCTTTGTGTCCTGGCAGCATTTTGTCTACAGACCCAGACATTTCCTTCACAGTATCATCTATTTTAACGCAAACATTGGAAACTGCTAAGTCTTCTGACCTCTGTAATAAACACAGGATTTTGATGTTAAATCATTATTGAGATGTTTTTATTTATTTTAGAAAACAGTATTGAGTTATGCAAAATTTGCAAAAAAATTTAAATTAACAACAAAAGACTATTAGTGTTTTACCATAAGGTTAACAAGAAGATTTCCATCAGTATTTAAGCCATGTAATATATATAACTTGTCAGTTAAAATATATCGCAGAGTATAATTTTCATTGTCGTTCCATCCAGTTGGTAGTACTTCACTCTTTACTTCATCTCCAGAAAGGGTGCGCTAAAATAAAATGGATAACTAAGTTTTTTTTAAAAGTAATGATGAGCACTTTACAAGGTCAACTTTAAAAAAGGGGGATATCTATTTACATTGACTTAAAACGTAGTTTATTCAATAATGAAAGTCCGTTACTCACTCATACCTCATCTCCAACGCCAATGCTACGGAAGCCTCTTTTTGTTAAATTCCAATGTAGAAATGCAATAACGATATCCGCTTTAGATTTTACATCTTTTTCGACCGTTTTAAAAGTTAAATCCCAACCGAAAAGAGGGTCAGACGCCATAATGTTGACATAAAACTCGCAAAATGGTTATCTTATATATTTCAACAATAACTATAAAATAACTGAGATTACTAGGTACAACAGCTCAAGCCACTTCATTAATTCTTTGAAATGAGGATTTTAGGTGAATCCTTGAATATTTTCTTTCTTTTTACAATATTTTCAAATATTATTTGTAATTGCAGTCTGCAATTGTTGCATTTATCTATTTACTTTATAAAGCTCAACTTCAATATGTCAAGTCATCGCGGTTCGAGCAGAGTAAATAAATGATGACATTATCTGTAAATTAAAAAAATATATATATCATGTAAATTATTTAATGCTAGTAATATAAGTGATGTAACGACTAACGAGTATGTATATATTGTAGTAAATTTATGTTAACAGAATACTTATAATTATATAGCGATATCATACTAAAGCTATATTCCACATCAAGATAAATAGCTCTAGCCTGTGGTTGTGGCACATCTCAATGTGACCAACAAATAAAAACTACACTATTCTTGCATTGTCTATACAAGGTTATGATCTTATTATTTTTTGTTCAATTTTTTTTTGATAGCTGTAGAACAAAATCGTAATTATCTATTTAAAAGTAATCAACGTGCTTTGATAATGAGCGAGGGAAACCCGCTGTGAATAAGTAAATTTTGTTTTCTCGGAACAAATTTTATTTAAGATCTTAAAATAAATGTGTTGTCCTCAAGTTGAGAATAATTTCAAAAAGTAATTAAATAAACGTTTTATTTCTTATCAAAATAGTTGTGTATTATAGACGAAAAAAGGGTTTAAATGTAGATTAATCCTTTCTTCGAGTGCAGTTTTAATACGTATTTAATTTAATAGTTCAAATCGCACATGCATATTTTTTATAAGGTATTACTAACTTGTACTTGTTAAGATGGCTATTTTGAGGATGGTCACCCCTACATAAAAACAACATGGCGGGCAGTGTCATCTCGGTATCGTTGCGAATGTAACGTAAAATAATGATTCTAGTTGTTTTAGAATATGGGTGAATATGTGCAATAAATTAGTATACTCTAATGTGAATAGTGCTGTGTTTTAAAATTTTTGTGCTAATAAAAGTGTAACAATGGCCTCGGATAAGATTAAAGTTGCTGTGCGGGTTCGTCCTTTTAACAGGCGAGGTAAGCTGGTTTCGTACAATATACACCAATAAATAAAAAATACGCGATGTTACAGGTGACTACGTATGCCATTATCTGCGTATCAAATTTTGCTTAGATAAAATTTATTAGTTACCTATTGCTTTGTGTTGTAATTCGTGGCGACTTTGTTTTCATCGCAAAATTCAAAGTGTTTATTAAATCCAAATCGTTTCGTCACTGTTTAGTTAACTATTATATAAAAACTTCAGTAACAGGCAATTCACTTTAGTTTCAGTTTGCAGACTTGGATAAACTTCGATAAGATTTACAAATTATAGACCATATCAATTCGATTATTCTTTATTTATTTATTTTTAATATTCTTTGCACATGCAGATTAATAATGTATTTAATGACGATTAAGAATACGTTTTTAATTTAATTCTTTCATCTTAAAACTATCAACATTATATTTTTAATTAAACAAAACAATGGTACATTGCATGCGGTATTTATTTAAATTGAACAGTGCTGAATTACATCAAGTGGAAAACTTGGTTATTGCTCAATTCAAATGTGACTATGTTTAAATTCAGTTTAATGAAGGATCATTTTAATAAAAAATAGTTAGCTTTTTGGCAGCTTCTTGTATTTTGCAAGCAAACCAAAGGGTATGAAGGGGCATCGTGAGACCTGGATAACCCAAAGTCCTCAACAGAGAGGAAATGGGTGACATGGTTAGCAGATAATGTGGACTGATCACCCGGCTTACTGTCAGTGCACCTAATAAATATAATAATAAAAGGCAACAGCTATTGAAATCTATCTGTACCTTTATTTAAATCTGTTAACTTATATATAAAGCAGATAAATAATTTTAAAGGTTAATTGATTCTTGCTTTCCTATAATTTACAGTTGTTGTGTCCAAATGGTTTTTCATTTTTGGTTTACTTTGTTCCCTTGTGATATAAGGCATCAAAGCAAATGTTAAATTTTTAAATCTTAAAATGTTAACAAACAATAAATGAAAATTAATATCAATAAGAAATAGGGTAAGTGACCAAGAACGATTTTAATCTTCTGTCTCTGTGAACCATTTTAAAGTTCTGTTGGATTAATTACATAACAAGTTTTTTATGACTAGGACTAGTATATCAAAAAACTACTAATGACAAGAACAAATCAGCAGTATAATGTGTAACTTAACGCTTCCTACAATGTCAGATTTTAATAGTTTTTATCAAATGGTACTTGTATTGATGAGTACAATAAATTATTTATTTGTATTCGCTTACTAATAAGTAATTAACACATTAAAACATTAAGTCAAAAATGTTTAGATTTTATTTTGTCAAAATACTTAATATAGTTCAACATTTAGGTAATCAATTTTCTCCAAAGTCTGTCTGTATTAAGTGACTGTCCAAGTATGCACTCATACTTGGACAGTCACTTAATATTGCGTTATACTTGCTCCATACGCCTTAACTTAATGATTATGTATTGAATTGCTTTCATAAACCAACAAATAATAATATATAAATAATATAAAAATATAGCAAAAGACATGGGGCAAAGGGCTATTGAAATAGCAAAATTAGATTCCTGGAGGAAACCAATATTTCCCGTTAAATGCATATGCCACGAGTATTCGAGTATAATGTTGAAAACCGGATTTTGAAGACAGCCAACGCGACCTCGTATTGAGTCATCGCATGCATTATCGTAACTAAACAGACATGTATTACAAGTGTCTATACATGTATAATGTGATAATTTATGTTGGTTCTATCAGATGGTGTCATGGTGTGAGCAACTTTCATTCGTTAGTACGGGATTTAGATCTCCAAACGTACACTAAAAAAATCTTTATGTTTCTGTCACCTGCTCTCCAGTGAAGCAACTGCATCGATATCTTAAAATCGATATTTGAGAATCGTAAATCTTTTACTGTAATAAAAAAAAATGATTAAAATGTCTTTTATCGCTTTAATAGTTTTTACTACTGATAGAAATTCGTGTACCTAACAATAGTAATATTTTTTATAGGATGTTATTGTGAATCTGTCATCATACTATGACATCACCGCTTTAGGTATTTTTACGGTTTCGTATGGGCATCGTAAAATAAAAATTGCCTTATCAAACTTTTTGTTTGTTCTACGTTTTATTTGCATGAAGTTGATAATGAGTAGGCATTCTCAATACGCACATAGTAAATTTCAGTAAAAACCCACATAATAGGCATAGTTAATAAATAATCTGTAAGTCATTTGATAAATAATGTACCCTAAAAATGGATATATACTTTACTTAACACAAGTTCTAATAGGTCTCCAGAAAGTATATTTTGAATGAAAGCCTTTTTGTGATGTCTTAGGTTCAGGTTATAGCATCAAATTAAGAAGAAGAAGAAGGTTAAGGTTCTACCTCTGTTCGACTCGTTTTAATTTTCAAATATGTATGTTGAGATTTATTTCGACAGTAACAGCCTCTGTTGGCTGGGTTTGCATAAATAAATAATAAAAAAATGAAATACGTCATTCTATTTCAATTACCACGCATTAGTGTTGAAATAACTCACCTTGATGAATGCGAGTAATGAAAGAATTACATTGTGCCCGTTAGCGGAAGCTGCGTTTTATCTGTCCTCTAATCCCCACGTGCCTTTGTTTATCTCGTTTTTGTAAACAATCCCGCGATGCTTTTATTAACTCGACTTGTAGCTTAGATTTTCTATTTTCGTTTGTTTAATTTAAGTATTTCAGTTTTAAAGAAGAATATGTAGTATTTGTTTAATTTTGGCCGTAGTAGTTATTCATAGTCAGATTAATTTATGTCAGGCAGATTTAAGCAAAATAGATATAAAAGATAGACACGATACTAACCTTGATAAAATATTACTTAGTAACCTAAAATCTAATTAATTTGCTTACATTGCCTGAAAAATAATCGATGTACAAAACAAATCTTTGTTCTTTACAATGTAATTATGATTTCGTGTGGGCAAACTAGCGTCTAGTCGTAACTAGCGTCAGTATGTAATGTCTGTCCAAGCAACATTTATTTACATGTCTTTGACCTGTTATCAGAAGTTTTTTATATCAGCCACTGTAGAGTCATCTATATTTATTTACCTAATAACGTGTGTTTGCTGCTCTACTATTTACATTTTCGTTCATTGATCTAACTAGATGTAGACCTGAGTATGTTTCAGACATTAATTTGATACAATGACAGAAATAATACTGTCTATAGTTTACGCGAGTAGTACACATTTAAATAAAACACGTAAACGGTTAAAAACGCGATATATTAGTTAAACTTATTTGAAAATGATTTTTAACTTTATCCTACCCGTGACCCGTGATTTTCAAATAAGTTTAACTAATATATCGCGTTTTAAACCGTTCAAGTGTTTTATTTAAAAGGGTTATAAGATGTCAGCGATAATGAAAATCGAATTGAAGTATCAACACCAGCCTCTGTACTTTTAGTTTTCTCCATTTATGCTAGTCAAATGTTATTTTTATTCGAAATTCAAATAATTATGTCTTTTTTAAATTTTACAAAACTTCTGTTACAGAACTAGAGCTTGGAACACAATGTGTGGTGGAAATGGATTCGCAGCAGACGATCCTACAGTACCCGCAGTCCACACACGACAAAGAAAGGTATGTATGGAAGCTAAACACTTCACAATTACGATTTGATCGCGCAACAATGAAAAAATTAACTGGGGCAAAAACATTTGCAATTTAGAGTAGGCAGACTTACCATATTATATCTTGATCTTTGTTACCATGGAAATACTTCCACCGTGTATAAATCTATTATTACATCTTCAATCGTTTAGCCCCATGTACGTGTATATAATATAATGTATATTTTCAATTAATCATAATTAGTAATCCATATATACTTAGTTTCTCTTACACTCTGGAAAGTAGTTGTTTCAAGAACATGAATACATTTTCTAACAAACGATTATATGTTTCGCAAGTAAGCGCTCTACAACACAGACTTTCATGTTCTCTAATTAATATTAACAAAGGTGGCCTCATGTACTATCCTTGCCCCAGATTAAGAACACAAGATAAAGTGTAGAACAGAGGAGGAATCGCCTTTATTAGCGAGACGGGTTAATTAACGCCTTCCGCGTGTCTGTACATGCCTTTATTTTTTACCTCGTCCTTGTAGATGTTAGGAGCATTTAATTAAAAGCGTTGCCCCACTTGAGCAATGGGCGGAGAGAGCCCTAAGCGCTAAGTAATTGCACGTAGCGGTTTCTCGTGATGTGATGACACCGTGGCATTTTTAATTTGGTGCACAAATGTAAACTGTGCTTTGCGACGCGAAATGGGACAAGGACGCGCGTTGTGGCTTAATTTCTTGTAGTGCCCCGTTTCGTGCACTCGCCTCTTTGTAGGACGTAAGCGGAGGGGTGAGAACACACGCTGCTTGAAGCGGCATATTATGACAGATAGCGTGGCAAGGTCTATGTTGAATCACCCACACGGTTCTATTGTTAACGCAGTGTTTTACTTATCTCGCATAATACAATGATCAGTAATAAATTTAAGTTATATATATATATATATATATATAAAAACGAGAACTGTTCTGTTGCCCCATAGGTTATAGTGATCGGTAAGAGCCCGTCGGTTATGTAAGGGAAATAACTTCACCGCAAACCAACTATTGAAGGAGTCAAAAGAACAGTTTTGTTTTTTTTTATGACTGAGCAGTTGTCGCTGTCAACCTAATTAGACTTATGATATTCGGAAATTCACAGTCTGAAAGCGAAACTCAAATTATCCACAGTTAGTCGTCTGTGGACATGGTGGTTCGTGACGCGGGCGGAAATTTTATATTTCTGCCACCCTTATAATATCCAAATTTCCAGACATGTTTCTGAACAATTACAAATTGATTAGAAATATGTTGGACCCGTTGAGGATCTAACCCGTGACCCATTGAATATTAGCTACCCAATTTCTGTCATTTTACCAATGAGCTCAAAAAGTGACAGCTCGAAGAGTCTAAAGCACCTTTAGCGGTTGGTTTTTCCAAAGCCAAGTTAAGAGTTTACGAACATTTTTAGAAATCTGTGCAGAACGATATTTTTATAGATTATTATTTTTACACATTATGTCCAATTACATTTGGGATTAAGTACCTCTTTTTTCTATTTCGGTATTTCCGATACCTACCTCGAACCTTTAGTATTTAGCGTTTGTAATTTGCTGTTAATAATGTATGAAATCAATCTTTCGCAATTTTGAAAATAGTTGGTCAATTTACTTTATCGTACTGGTGTTAATGGTCATATTTTGTTGTTTATATGTATGTAGAAATAAAAACACTTTATTGAATTAAAAATTCAACTTAAGTAAGTACCTATTTGAGACGCTCTGATTAACGTCTCGCAATTGTGTGAGTACGCAATGAGCTGTCATAAAAAATCGCGATTTCAGTATTTAAATATTTTATTCTGGGCCTAAGCAGCTTTTATATACATTTCATCAAAATTGATTGTGGCATTTAGGTGTGATAGACTAACAAACATTTGTACATCCATTCTTAATTCTTTAATATATATATATATATTAATAGTAAGGAATTTGACAATAGTACAATAATAATAATAATACACACAAAAAATACACATTTCCACAGTCCTGTATCTTTTAATTTCATCATCACAAAATATCCCACAAACAGCCGAAACATTTTGGCTAAGACAGCGATATAAACAAGTCGAATTAGATTACGAAACATTTTAGCCAACAAAATTCAAACATCCAATCTCCTCTTGAAATTAAACTAAGCTTCATTAACTCCCGGCGTAATATATCCCACGTAGGATCTGTACAAACCTCTTTATATCGGAATATAACAGACCTTTTTGCTAACTTACTATTGGCTAACACTTTGTTTGTTTTTAACATTTTGAGGCAGATAATTTGGAGCATTGTCTTTTTTGTTGACCGCGTTGTGGCAATGCTGGTGCAAAGGTCCTGGGCTCGAATTCTGGGGACACGATAGTTTGTTTCGGTCGGATAGGGCACAGAAGTCTTGACGACGTACTTGACGTGCCTGTGAATAAAACCGATTTGTGAAACAGACTCAGAAATGGGTTCGTCTCCTGCACCAGGGGGGAGACAGGATTGCATTTAGTCTTCTTGTGTGTATTGTTGCATTTTAATCTTATTAAGTGTGTTACTTTAAACGTTTTGGAAAATTTAGTCGCTCAAAGAAATTAAAGGAGGCAAACGAATTTAGCTTATTTTTATTAATTGTTCATATACAGTAATGTTTTTGTAAAAAAAATGAATAAGCGGGACGTAGCTTGGAGAACGTCTGCAAACTAATTCTTTTTAATAAGTATCAATAGACGTCTGTGACATCGAAGCGAGTCTAAATAATTTCCTAATAGAAGGCAATCAATGGAAATAAAACACGCTCTCAGCGGAGCATTCGGGTCAATCAATAGGACGCGGAGGCGATAGCGTGACACCCGCGCGACAGCTACCTTGCAGTGAGTTTTATTGGAAGTTATTGCGAACGCAACTTTCGATGTAATCGGTCCTTTGATGTCGGTATTGAAAATCAATGCGGCCCTTGACTTGGTAGTATAATAAAAAGTTTTCCTGAACTTTGGTACACTTTGAGTAACAGCACCAACAAGAAAAATATTAAAGACATACTTACCTACATACGTATTTATTTTATAAGTATAATTTATTTTTAATATTATAATTGTATCAAAAATAAATTTTACTTATAAAATTGCCTTCTACGAAAACGATGCGGTAAACGCGATGTCGTCCATTGCATGAAGGGCAAGACTTGTCCTGACTTCGAATACTGAAAAAACAACAGATGTTGTTGTTAGTAATTGAAATAAAACCGCGAACTCATTTTAGTTAAACAGATATATAAATGTATGCGTGTACTGCTATGGACATTGATTTTCACTCTTTTGTGCTTACTTATTTTGACGTGGTTACAAATTGGGATTTCATTTTTGCGTTTTTGCTTTTATCAATGAAGTCTCGCAAATGTGTTGTCGCCATTGAATGATTAACGAAGACGCCAGTTGCGGTTTGGTGTGCGGTGAATAACGGTCCATTGCGAGCGTGGGATGTAAGATCGATTCATCCGAGAGCTTCAGAGTTCTTAGATTTAGATGAAATGGTTCATAAAAAGTTCTGACTTAGACGTTAAGGGGTTAAATTTTTCAATACGCTGAAATAGTATTTTTCATTTTAAACTACCTATTAGTTTAATAGTTAGGTTCTAATCTTATCTGAATAAAAATGTTCGTTTTTTTACGGTTTACTTCTTTATAAGTATTCGTAAATTGCGTATTTATCCTTGTGTTCGTGCCTTAGAAGAATTATCTAACATCATGTGTACACATATACATAAGTAAATATCTTTAATGAAATGTAGTATAACTTTTTAAATTTTCTAATACAATTAAGGTATTTAATATTTTTATGAGCGCTTATCTGCGACGGATCTAACTTACATGGTTCTCGACAAATGTAAGCTGTTTCGTTCCCTACTACCTTAATTGCTTCCACTGCCAAGAGATATCAAAGGCCACTACAGTGAAAAGGCGTGCGCAGAATGCAGACTCTGTTTGCGGTCTCAATATTACGAATTGCGCTCTCGAAAATGCTTTTCGGGCATTTTATAATGTCATACATTACTTGCGCTCAAACAGCGCGTACAGAAATTTATAATATTACACGTCACGTCTTGGCTTATTTTGAAAAGTTTAATAGTTTTCACCTGTTATTGCAATTATCATCATTTTACGCGAAGAGTACACATTTAAATAAAACACTTTAACGGTTTAAAAGTGACCAGTCTCCCCCTGACCACGGCTGTTGCAATGCATCCGAAACGCCAGGCAGTTGTTAAAAATTATTAAATAATTTTAACAAATAAATATCGCGTTTTAAACCGTTAAAGTGTTTTATTTAAAAGTAATGTTGGTTCTACCTGATTATTTTGATAGTTTTACATACCTACTATCTTCTAAGTTTGTATTAACAACAAATTTCTACATAACTCGGGACTCTAATTAATATTGTAACAAGCTCTGCCCGAGCTATGTTTGTATAATATGCAGGTAATATTTGCCGTGCTCACGTCGCATTAATTGCGCTTACCAGTCATTAGGATATACGTTCAATTTCGACACCTCAACTTGATTGCTGCAGCAGTGTAGACGATAACAATGATAATTCACTAATAGATTACGTCTTCCATATTATGAACATTTGGAAAGATGGATCGCGCAATTCGGTAATGGATTTCTTTCCTCTATGACTCATGAGTAATTTCAGTGTTTGTTATTAGCTGTAAACGGTTTATTGCGGTCTAATGTGATTAGGTATTTCGTCAATAGTGAAAAGAGTTCTTATTGTCTATAACAGAAGTTTATCTATGTAGTAATCGCTGTGTCAGCGACTTCGTCCGTGTAGAATAATTATTTTGAAGATCTGTTTTTGCAAGCCCACAATGTCGTTCGCGTCCCGTCATCTTCCAAATTTTAAAATATAGACATATAGTGTCGCGGACATGTTTTAGATCATTTAAAGAGAAATAATTCATACAATTTTTGGGTATCTTAAATCGTTTTCGCAGCGTACGGATC